GATGGAACACAGTTCCAGTAATAATTAAGTGTAATAAATATCAATTAAGCTAACTGAAGTGTATAAGGTTTCAAGCGTGAAGAAGGGGGGGGGGAAGAACACGACAGCAACGTATATGCTTTCATGGAACCATTATAACGAACAATGGACATGGAAAAACGCTAATGGAGCATAACTTCTGAAACGTGATACTTCTTCGTACATAGTCACCAAGCATACAGGAATATTGCTAAGCTACACAACTTTTAACTAACCAACAACTAACTAACTAACCACTACAGTCAGATCACTGACAATCTTGCTAACATCCAACCAAAATCCACGACAGGGTACACATAGCTTTTCGTCGAGATACTCCTTAACTGAAGTCTCTTCTCAGTATCAGATGGATGACACTGATAGATGCATCAATTTTTACTAATTAGGTTCCATATTTGGTGAAAGATCAATAAACATGTTGGTCTGAGATGAAGCCGTGGCTCGATCAGGGCCGCCTCTACATGTTAGCTCTCGGTTTTTGTTGGCTTAATCGCCTCTATCGCAACTCGGGCAATTACCGTCGATGTTTTCGATTAATTTACGTGTACATATAAAGATAAAATCTCAGAGTATTACGTTCCCATCCGTGTCGTGTATTGGACATTTTGTAAGCCTATACAGGTCGATTTTAACCATGAACGGTCTAATATTATGATAGGAAAGTTATCGCCGTGTAATTAAGATGGAAATAAACTCAAATTTCTTTTGGAATTGAGCAAGCCAAATACGGTTAACCCGTCTAATTTTCGAGAACATTATTCCAGCACCGACAGGGATAAATTAAATGTATTTCATATTGAAGTTTCGTTACAATTACCCTACAATGAGGTACCCTACATCACAGTAGAGAATAGCTGATTTGAGTGAAACTACACCCCTCATCAAAGAGCTGAAATACAGTTAAAACGCACTATGCATTTAACCGAAATAGTTCGTTAAATTTCTTCTTTTGTAAACTAGAAAATAGATTTTTTTAACACCGAGAAAAATTTTCTCATTAGTTTGCTAAAATAAATTGAAAATCCAGTACATGCATCGGTGAATCAAAATTATTGAGAGGGATGCCAATGTAATACGAAGAAATATTGAAATATTTAGGTTATTAGCTATCTGAACACAATAAATGTCGCTGCTATGGCCCCGACTAGCTCAGAAAAGATAGAATCTACAGCTCAGTGTAGATCTGCTCTATAGTTTAAAAGAGATAGACTCGTTAGTCTATAGCTCAGAAAAGATTGACTCTATAGTTAAGAAGATATATGTAGATTCTACAGCTCAGAAGATATTGACTCTACAGCTCAGAAAAAATAGACTCTACATCTGATAAGAGATAGACTCTACAGCTCAGGAAGAGATAGACTCTACAGCTCAGAAGATAAAGACTCTACAGATCAAAAGAGATAGAATCTACAGTTCGGAAGAGATAGAATCTATTGATCAGTGGAGATATACTCTATCGTTTAAAGAACTCAATAGTTAGAAATATTTTATCAGCACCAAAACGGCCAAAAATGGTTGCTAAGCAGAATTTGAAAAAAAAATAAATGAAAAAGCGAGCTTTAATCTTCAAAATCCGCAAAAAGCTGAAACGAACATTCTGCATTGTTTTTTGATTGAATTCCATTCTTTCTACTCGCTGGAACCTGGCAAAAACGTAATACTCATCGCAAGAGCAGCATTAGGATCTGTACACAAGTTGTTCGCATATACGCAGTATTTCACTAACAAACGCTATCCATGTTCCACCACTGACGCAACTGATGCTCTAACACTAACGATATTTATGTTCCAACTCTGACACAACTGATGCTAAAAGGCTAACGATATTTATGTTCCAACACTGACGCAACCGATGCTTTAACGCTAACGATATTTATGTTTCAACTCTAACGCAACTTATGCTCCAACACTATTAAAGTTCCTTAAACATTTTAATACACTTTTTAACTTATAATACCTGTCCCCATTTACTTTAGATCTGAATATTGTGGAAAAGGTATTAAATTAAATAGGGGAACTTTTCATTAAACATTGAAAGCTTTTATTGAAAGGGGCGGGCCTAAATTTGTCTAACTTACCTGGAATACCGGGAAAAAAGCTGGGCCTACCCTGATTTTACGGCAGTTCTTACTGCTCAAACGGCTCTACCTGCTGTTTTACCGGCTTTTTTCCGGGAATTCCGGCGATCTACCTGGAAATCCGGGAGGCATACGGGACTTTCCGGCAGGCTTCCGGGAGTACCGGGAATACGTTGACAGCCGGTATTGCAGGATCTCCCGGCTACTGAAGTTGGATCCCTCGGAGATCCGGCTCTTCCGGGAAACCTACCGTCTCTTACGGGACAGCTACCTGGAGGGCATTACATATTAAGCCCTGCCCAATATACCGGCTATAAATCCGGCATTTCAACCGGCTTGGCGTTTCCGGGGCTTCTGGCCTTTTAACCGGCAGTGTGAGAACGAGGCATAATTAAACAAAACCGGTACTTATTGTATGGGTCTGGTAGAAAACAAAACTGGTTCTTATTATAGAGGCACAGGAGAAAATAAGGCCGTTCTTATTTTAGGTGCTAGTGAGGAAACAAAACAGGTTCTTTTATTAGAGGGTTACGGGAAAATGAAACCGGTTATAATTGTAAGGGTTCAAGAGAAAACCAAACCGGCGGTTCTTGTTGTATAGAGGCTTAAGAGGAACATAAACGTTATTTGTTGGGGCTTAGAAGATAACAAAGCTTGTTCCTAATGAGGGGCTCGAGAGAAAACAAAGCCGCTTGCCTTTGTACAGGGTTTCGAGAAAATAAAACCGGTTGGTCGTTCGTGTTGGAGTTCAAGAGAAAAAAAGCGGTTCATTTTCATGGGTTAGGAGAAAATCAAACCCTGTTCTTATTGTAAGTACATGGGTGAAAAACAAACTGGTTCGCAAATGTAAATTGTTGATGTAAACCCTAGGTACATATAGACACATGTTCATCCAAAGAATTTTATTCATAATCTTCGGACAACACGTAAAGTTTTTGTCAGATAAAAACAGAATATTAGCAATACATTCCCCCTCAAGGGGACTTCTGACGAGTGTCTGTGCTCGTCAGAAGTCCTATGGGATTTCGCGCTCCTAGGGGGATTGTTCCTGAGCGCACCACCGCTGAGCTCGCGGTGTCTGACTGCAGGTTTCAGTTGTGGGGTTAAATTATTATGTAGGTAGATTTCCTTTCATTTCCATTCTCTGTCTTTCTCATGCGGGCGGCCGACGTCCAGTGTAAGCGACAGCTTGTTCGAGTGTCTTAGTTTCTGTTACTTTTCACCTGTCCTTCCTTTTCACTTCGTCTCTTTGAGATGCTAACGCTGCTTCTTTCGAGCCAGTTTCAGTGGGCTGGACATCTGAAACCTTCCACCCCTTGTGGGTGATGACCAATTTTTGATTTGAGAAACTTTTTATAATTGAGACCTTCCACCTCTTTGGTGATGTTCAACATGAATTTCAGTGCGAGATAGCTAAATAGCTGAAACGCTAGTAAACATGTGGCCACTAAACTAACTAACTAACTAGCAATTGATTCAACAATAATTTAAACATTTCGATGCAAGGACTGGTACAGAATTACAGAATCTTAACATTACATTACAAGATCTCTGAAAGACTATTTCAGACAATAATTTATGAACAAATAAGTAGGAGCGTGAAACTAACTTACAAAAATAATTCGCTCCTAAAGCAGGTTTGAACAGAGTGCGGTGTGTGAACAGTCGAGTAAACTTCAGCAAAAATAAAAAGAAGGCAACTAAAGGTCAGAACATAGATGTTACAGGAAGCATCGATATATGAAATTGCGACTACTGTTATATTCGGGGGAATTAATAAATAATGATGAAAGTAATAATAAAATTAAGGGTTAATTATAACTTGACTCGTAAATCAATGAGAGCATCGAAAACTTTTTTAAATGATAATATCAAATTTGGCAAGTAAAAAGTAAAAATGTTTGCAAATTCCACTTGAAACGTTTATGCAACCAGCTTCACTTGTATCAAAATAGAAACAGAAAACACAATTCAACCAGGATAATTTGCATTTGAAAGCAACCTTAAAAGAACAAAGAGTAATGTTATCCGATGAAAAAACTGGGCTTGGAAATTGTTTTCCTAAATAAAATTGTGTATCAGCATAATGTTGCTCACTCGTGTGAAAAATTGCGCTCACGATTTTCACGCATATTTATACTCTCTTTTGACGGTACCTTCAAATTTATTCGCATTATTTTTTCGAAACCGACAGGATGAACTAACAGTTTTGAGTTATATGTAAAAATATTTTAGTTTATACTGTTCATTTCAAGTTTTCTTTCACAGAAAATATGGAAAAGTCTACGGTGTTTGGTCCTGGGATTCAAAATATTCCTACAGTTCTTTAGGTACAGGTCATGCATGACAAGTGAGTCCTCCGCGATGCTCTTAAAATTTGTATCGACATCATCTACACGTTTACTTCCAGTTTCAGTTCACTATTGCTGAGGTTGTAAGAACAGATAAAAATTTGCTAACTACAAGTTATTTTTTGGCGCCTTATTGCACTTGACTGTGATAGTTAGAAATTTTTGAATAATTTCATATCCTTCTGTGTTAAAAAATTAGTCTGTTGGTAATGTGATTTGAATAATTTAAATTGCCTAACACATTACCCTCATTGTCTTAAAAGGGTTTGAGAGCGAAGCCAGAAGGTAATAATACATGACAAAAATACTGCGAGGCTTTTTCGAACTGCACAAGTTAAAGACGTTGGAACAAAATTCAAGGTGATAGTGAAGATAAATTATTACGGCGGTATTTAACCAATTAATAATTGTTATCCGGCCCAATATTAAGTAGAAGTTCAATGCTAATATTGAGTTTAGTAAATGAAGGGTTCACATCTAAAGTGTTCGGTGGATGTTTGGACGGCCCCGTCAAGGCGAATGAAACACAAGACAACGTCATTAACTTTTAGTAAAACACAGAAGTAATACAATTTCAAGTACATTTATGAAATTCAAAACAAAGAAATTATCGATACATGTTAAGAAAATTCGGCTCATTATTACCAAATTTTTATTGAAATATTTCAACCGAAAAGTTACTAGAAGATGTTGCAACGCTCCTATAGATTTTTAATCAGCCTTGGTGCGATTGCCTGCAGGCTTTACTCGTAGAGGTTGTAGTCATCTCCACCCTGCAGCTCCTCGGCCATGAGGATCGTAGCGGCCCTTGCCTCGTCGCTGGGCAAGAAGTCCAAAGTTCCGTCCACGCCTGACAGATCAAACTTGCCGACGCTGACATCGTCCCTGACGTCGTTCTTGAGGCAGGCCCAGTACCTCAGGTAGCTCTCACACTCCAGGTACGACTTGGTACGCAGCAGGTCGGCCGGGACAGGCAAGTTGGTCGACGCAGTCACCGGCATGCATTGCTGTGGCAAAATCAAATTTATGAACCTTGCCCAGTGGCATTACAGTGTCACGTATTACTCATGCACATTTGAATGATCACTTTCTACGTGCAATTTAAATTCAAAGGAATTTATTTGGATTATTTATGTATTCTAACGCTCGAGTTGAGTTGCTCACAGCCATCTTGTTGCACTGCAGCACGCCCTGCTCGATGTCAGCCAGCAGGGTGCGCGGGATGCCTAGAGCTCTGTAGCGCTGCACCAGCGCGTCAGGAGTGATGCGGTTGTTGGTGTCTGTCTGGTGACACAAACAGACATTTATGAGAAGGCTTGGAGTAAGAATAAAGACAAAAGCATACATTTATATTGGTCTGCAAGCAGCCTGATTCAACAGACATTCACTGGTCGCTGTAGTCAGAGTGACGACCCAAATAAAAATGTAATAGATGAAATGGCGGAGGTCGCTGGAAAATGATGGTTTATCATTGCAACTTTGATGAATGTATAGAAATCGGCTGATCGTTTGAGGCACTAACACTCAATTTAATGCAACCCAAAGCCTGTTTTAATCGTTTATATATTGTATACCACTGACCAGGCCGAGACGCTGCATGATGCATCTGAAGCGATGAACGTGGAACCTGAATTTCCCTTTGATGTTCTCAATCCTTTCTTCCATTGCTGACCGCTTCTGCAATGTTGATTTATTTTATGTTGAAAAAGGCCAATAATTGCCTTACATGGTACTGAGGCTTCGCGAATTCCTATGATAATAACTTCGATATTAGTCAAAGATCATAAAACCTAATGAACTTTTATTTTCAATTTATGAAATTTGACGGTATGGAGCAGTACAGCACCCGCGATGATTTAATTTAGCTACCAGAATAATATTTAAAAAAGTAGATGAACTCAATGACAATTGATAACAATTCGTATATTATCAAATAATATTAATATTATGGTTGCAGCGAAGGAGATTTCCAAAATTAAACGGAAAACTTAAGTCAAAGGTCATTACCTGATTGCTTGACTTAAAGTCTATAGATTTTAACGGTATGAGTTCAATTTATACAAAAAATTGTTGAAACTTAAGATTGAAATTAAATTTATCGGCTTATAATACGAGACAATTTCACATTGTAAGCCCGATGAACAAAATGCATTTGATTAATTCGAGCAAATACTATTATAAATGAACAGATTAAAGACAACCTATATAACAAACATTCGCAGACAAAAATCTATTCCGCGCAGTTTATGTTGAGCTGCAGCGAACATGTCACTGACCTGGCGGTAATAGTGGGAGGGGGAGTACGCGCCCTGGGGGAGGGGGGGACGTTAGTAGGAGAACTATAATATATGGGAATGTATGGACTTCAATTGTATTAATAAGTTAACAAGTTATTGGAAATACTTGGCAGTGCGATTTGGAGACAAAACAAACAAATATAACTTCATATTTCTGTTTATTTCGTCATCCTATAATTTTTTTCATCATCATCCTTTAAATTAATACCTGATTATTAAAGATCACACGGCTCTATCGCACAAATAATTATCAAAATCAAATTTAAGAAATGACAATCTAGACAAAAGAAAACAATTTTTATTATATATTAAATTAAAAAAGATTTTTACCCGGACTGAGTCACAGGAAATCAAGCCGAAATCTTCCTCCACACAACGCTCAAAGGTAATATTGACGTAAATAACTGGTCCTACAATAATTATTTCACAATTTAATTTAAACTTTTTATAGTTTTAATTTAACACCTCCATACAACGCTCAAAGGTAATATTGACGTAAATAACTGGTCCTACAATAATTATTTCATAATTTAATTTAAACTTTTTATAGTTTTAATTAAACAAAAGATCTCACAATAATCTTGTTCCAATTGACGCCGTCGAGGAAGTCGATCTTCTGTGCACTGTTGTCTTCGTTGAGACCGTCACAGGCAGCGAGCGCCTGCTGCACTTCCGTCTGCCACGCCTGCGTGCCGCTCTTGCCCAGGCAGCTCTCCATGTTCTGAGAACACACATTGTTTTAAAAACATTTACGTTTTACATGAAGTGAAAAACGGCTCTATATCCAATAAATAAGTCTGGTGGTGAATAGAAGGAGGATTTTGATATTGCGCACATGATTCATGATTTTTTGCTCGGTTTGATGTGTACCTTTTTATCGTTAAAAACAAAGAATTTAATTTTCAATTCAAAGTTATAACGAAATAATAAATAAATTAGGATGGTTAGTCGTAATTACGTACAGATTTGTTGACTTGCACTTGTTTGAAGTGAATATGAAAAATTGTCAGGTCATGCATTTATGAAAAATGTGAAATTATCACTGAAAATTTGAAAGAACTTGTTTCATACCGCCTAATAGCCCCCAATTAGGAAACATTCTATAAATAATTTTGAGAATAAAAAAGTCCCTAGGGCATAAAAATTTCGTTTTTAATTTTCAAATGTCAATTAAACACAAGCCATAATTGTAACAAAGATACACTGATTTACTGTAAAAATGATATAACCTAGGTAGAATTAAAACAAATTAAAAGTTAGATAGCATTAAAACAATTGAAATAAAACAAAAATCGTTTATTAGTTAAGAAAATTGTCTTATTTACGGTTCGATAGAGTCAGAATCTGATTTGATATTAGTAGTTAGTTTACATTTAGGTTGGCCAACGGCTCATGGGAAAAAATTTTCACCTTGATTGCCCCTCGTTTGGCCCAGAAGTCCACCAAGTCCAACTCGTAGGCCGAGGCCACCGTGAGCGCGGTGGCCAAAACCAAAATTGATGACGGCGCCTGCATGATGAACGGGATCGTCTGCATGAGGAATAGTATTACAAATTACTATTTAGTTCTTCTGCAGCACGAGGGGAGACGGGAAATTCAATATATTATAAGAATAATAATAAAGTTATATAAAGTCACATATACTACCTCCATTCCAATATTTCAAGATATTAACATTATTTTGTGAAGGTACTTAATTACAGACCTGATCAGAGTGGTAAGCGCCGTACGAATGTCACGGCGGCAGCCACGGCCTCACTTTTATACCAAGACTTTAGCTGTCGCTCCTCCCACTGGACGAAGGTCATCCTTTTGTTCCACCAATCAGAGATCTTTTAAATATAAAACTACCAATGAGAAATAAATATGTTTTTAACAAAAATTGCAGTATGTTCATTGGTCGCTTGAGATGAAGGTTCAAAGTTAAACATAAAATTGAAAAAAATAGTAAATGTCACCTTCAAAAATGCACAACTTTAAAAAAAATAGTCGCTCTAAGATTGGTTTGCACATAAATCGTTGAATTGAATTTAGCTGAGGACCACTTGCTGTTGCTATGGATTAGTCCAAGGCAACAATTACGAAGGGCACCTTCAAGATTATTGCTCTATGTCATCCATATTTACGAATAAGATGACTCGCTATTCCTATAGATTGCACGAATAATTTTTGAAGATTTTGTCATCAATAAATAAATTTTTTAATTTAGTCCTTTAATTAAGATTATTTATTAACTTGGATATATTACTCAGGCAATTGTTTTACGAATCCCAAAATCAAGCATGAACTTCATCAGCTTTCCAAATTATATTCAACGATTTTGGGTGAGTTCGAATTTTTTTTAGTTTTTTCACGATTGGCTCTCGGAGGCACTGATACGAAGTAGTTATATGGCCTCTCATGTAAAGCAACTGTCAAATTGTGCAAGACTTAATTTTCTTTTACATGATTAAGCTTAGCCATTTGTGTATGGGTACATTAATTGTCGTCAAAGTTTATCTGTCATTGAGGCCTGGGCCGGGAGGTGCCGTCAATAATTAAGGCCTGGGGCCGGGAGGTGCCGTCAATAATTAAGGCCTGGGGCCGGGAGGTGCCGTCAATAATTAAGGCCTGGGGCCGGGAGGCGCCGTCAAAAATTAAGGCCTGGGGCCGGGAGGTGCCGTCAATAATTAAGGCCTGGGGCCGTTAGGTGCCGTCAATAATTAAGGCCTGGGGTCGGGAGATGCCTTTTATAATTAAGGCCTGGGACTGGGAGGTGCTGTCAATAATTAAGGCCAGGGGCCGTGAGGTGCCATCTATAATTAAGGCCTTGGACTGGTTGGACTGGAAGGTGCTGTCAATAATTAAGGCCTGGAGCCGAGAAGTGCCCTCAATAATTAAGGCCTAGGACTGGGAGGTGCTGTCAATAATTAAGGCTGGGGCCGTGAGGTGCCGTCTATAATTAAGGCCTGGGACCGGGAGGTGCCGTCAATAATCAAGGCCAGGGGCCGGGAGGTGCCGTCAATAATTCAGGCCGTGGACTGGGAGGTGCTGTCAATAATTAAGGCCTGGGGCCGTGAGGTACTGTCAATAATTAAGGCCTGGGACCGAGATGGGCCGTCAATACAAAAAGGATTAAGTTTGAGCAGCCAAAAAGGTAAGGGTGCAATGACTTTTTTCGTCAATTGATGCATGAGAGCTATACGAAATATCAGACATATGATACTCTCATAAATTTGTTCAACATTTCATCCACGAGGGAGCTTAATAAATGATATTGTATCCCTAATTCCAAGGGGAAAAACGATTTACAAATAACAAGTTATTTCACTCACAACTAATTACATCATAGTCTCAACACTACAGACGAAGTCTTACTGAACTCTTCGGTTCAGTAAGACAACAATATTTGCGAGGTAAGTGTTAACAATATAAATGATTGCGAGGTAAGTGTTATGTAAAGGTAAATACTTGTTCCGATTCCTCACAGTGTCTCAAATTGTGTTGAACTTGTTTCTTGTGTTCTACGGTCGACAGTGGAACGGGCATAATATCGGTTGAAACTCATATGACTTCAACCTTGAATTAACAATGCATCCAATAGTCAGTCCAGAAATGCCAATATAATGCATGTAAAAATATTACTGTCTTCTCTGCAGCCAACGATGAACCGGTTCGATCCGTGTAGCGCCTTACCAGTTGCAAATAAATGATATGGAACCGGTCTGCGCGCCAGGACTCAAGCAGCGACTATAAACCGGTTAGCTCTTAGGCAATAGGTTAGATAACTTTTTCTTAGCCACGTAAGTCCCTGTAGGCGCTAATTTCCTAAAGATATGAACATATATAGTAGCTGCGCTATAAAAATAACGCCCCTGTAGTCTGAATCGTCCTCTAATAATTAAGTATTGGTATAGTTATAGGCTGTAGTTTTTCCTTTATGCAAGTTTGGATGAAGACCAGTTTAGTTATTCTATTGATAATTTTCTTATTTGTTTTCTCGCAGAAGTGCCTCCTCGCCCCACACGCCACCTGCTGTCTGGAGGGCCAAAGAACTGCACGAGAGAGGCTTACAGCCAGACCATCACACGCACATTGTATGGAAGGAAGCTTGCACCGGCGTCGTCATGCAGTGCTCCGACGCTTCAAGGCTGGCGACAGGTGAAGCCCTCATTATCAAGAGTGAGTCTCCAGCCATAAAATTGATGGCTGATCCTGACCGAATTCGTCTGGACGTCGAATTTATTTTCTGAAGTTTTAATTATCGATTTTAATCCACATAACCCATTGTTTGTACTTATGTAACTTCATAATTTCAAATTTAATTGTTGTAAAACCTTTAATTACTTAAAAATGAATATTGCATATTCGAAACACCGTATTTATTAAAATTTCGTTTTGAAACCTATTTTTACGATCTGCCAGTGCCAGCGAGAATTTTTGTTCGAGTTATCGATAAAACAACAAGAAAATTATCTATAGAATCTTCTCTGGTCTTCAACCAAAATTTGCATAATGAATGAAAAAGTGGACATGCCAAGTTGGCGGCCGGGAGTGGCAGCTACTTCATGCTCCAGTTGCTACCCCGAAGATGCCCTGTGCTAGCAACTGATTTCCACATGAACCTTAAAGCTTATGTAGGGTTCATGGAACATTTAGTCATCCTTCCTGTGCAAACTTAATTAAGGACTGGAAGGGCCGGGTTTTGGTAGCATAAGTCTGTGGGTAGACTTGCTCGATCCTGTATGTAATTCAACAAATGGATTTCAAAGAGTAAACGCGTATATTTTTTTTTTGCAGCCGTGAGGTAAAAAGTGCGCAGACGGCGGAAAGATGCAAAACAAAGTTACGAATGTTATTGAGTGCCCATGTTAAGTTTGGATTTATTTACACACAGAAAATTCTTTGCCCCCACGTACATAGTCAAAATGATTCAGAGATTTTCTTGTTTGACCCATTTAATTGAGAAATCAGTTTCAACATAATCAATCATTTAGTTATTAGTCGTTAGAAGCGAACTTTTATTCTGCACACAAAATATGAAGGCACAAAAACCGGTTGGCTTGTAGAGCTTGATAGTCAGAAAAACTTATCTTGAGATCAGACTCAGTTTCCCGTGAAGACTATATAATTGTGGTGTCTGACTATATACTTCCCAGGCAAGAAAATGCGAATGCGTTTGTCTCCGATTTACCTGCGCTGTATGGTAAAATTTAAGTGAAACGATGATATGCAAATTTAATAACTGAAGAATAATGGCATCTGAAACACAACGAGGTGATTCGTTAGCAGCCGATTGCGACATTGATAATTGGAAAGTATGATTTATTTATAGGGGGATATTATTCGGTTTTATTTTTCATCGATTTTTATCCCTGATTTATAAAGGCCGTTCGTTTGAATATTTTAAAATCTTCCCGGTGTCTATTCAAGGTCCTCAAGGTCTGGGTATAGGCCGGGGGTTGCATGAGTCGGTTTGTAAAGATACGCTTGAGTAAGATCAAACAAATTGATTTCCCTTAGTAGCCGCCATTTAACCTTCTATACTTCTTTACAGCCGTGAGGTTAAAGACCGCGGAGACGATGACACGTGGCAAAACAATAAAGCTACGAATATTATTGCGTGATCGATCATCTTAATGAAGGATTGATTTATTTACTGGAATATTTTCTGCCCAACGTTCATAAATCAAAATTATTCAGAGATATTAGTGTTTAACCTATTTTATTGAGGCACTGAAATAGTCTGATCTGATCGTTTTAATTTTTGGAAATATTCGCTACGGGATCGTCAATTAGTTACAATTTACAGTCGATTTTCATCCCAATTAAAGGCAGTTAACATGGAAATTTTTACCATATTGTGAAGCAATGCATTGAAGAAGAATCTCCTGTGATTTATAAATAAATATGACTTTTTGGGTATAAATGCAAATCATCGTATCGGTAGGTGTGAGTACTTAGGGTTTTTGTGATATATTTCAGTTCGGCAAGTCACTATTGATAATACCAACAGTGATGCTGCTTATATTAGTTGATGCCCAGACCAGGTAGCCTGATGCTCATGGCAACAGACGGTTTGAGCTTGAAAACTTGGGACAGCGGAGCACAGCTTGACCGGCTATTGCAATAGCCGGTCATATAAGTCGGCATATAAGTATTTCAAAAAAGCAATATCATCAGATGGAGTACAATGGATCTGTAAATTTTTATTGTCAATGCCCCACTTTAACTTTCGGTTTAAAAAAGTTTGTAATCTTCCTTAAGGTTGGCTCTGAATAATGGAACCATACCATAAAAATATTTGCAAACTGATTTGAACGCACACTAGAATATCGAATACTGCACTTAAAACATTCTCATAAAAAATTCAGTGCACTTAACAAATAAAAAAACCAGCGGCGTACAAGATGATTGCATTTCGTCCGATCAATATTGCGTATTTGTCTTTACCAGCATTTAAAGAATAAAATTATAACCCCTTTAAAACCCCATTTAAAACCCTAAATTAGCCCTTGTATCTTATATGCAGGATAAATGAAACAGATTAATTAAAAAATTGGCGAAGTTTTAAAGCTAATTTGCCGTAAAAAAATATTAAGGATGCCTCTCACGTGATGTGATGAAAAAGGCACGATCGTTGTACGACATAGCAGAGCTCACCTGTTGATGTCTGCAGTGCAATTTTGAATCCTTGTGCATGATGTATTTTCTAGTCATAGTTTCTGTTAATTTTCTGAGCGAATTAAATTATATGTTTTAATGAATACCACTTGTGTAATATTTTCCTACGTTTCTATGGCAGGCGCGAGAGTAGTGAAATTGGAACAGGAGTGTTTCAGAGTGCATTCGTATACCGGACTGTCGGCTGCATGCTACAGCTTTGTTGCTCAGCGACGTTGCGTGGGGCCCTTCGTTGTGGAGCGCAAATATCAGCCTGCATTGCTGGACACCTGATATTGTATACAAGGATGTAGATGGTGGAAGATAAGGTAGTGGCAGTATTAGGTTCAATTTATATAATGGGTCGAGAGCGATTTACGATCGCATTGTTTAATTCCTATGTATACAGAAATAACATTTTACAGCCCAATCTTTATAGTTTTATTGGAGTTTAGCCAGCCAGGTAATGTTTCTCGACTCCTTGCCAAACTAGATACTGCACTCCTGCCTTCCAGATTCTCTTATGTCTTAGCTACAAAGGTTACCAATAAACAGCACTTCGCATGATGCCAATTCGAGTTTTCAAGTTCTGTGTTGAGATATATTACAATATATGCAGCATTCAATCGACAGCCAGACTATTCATTTATTCACATATTTCAAAGCAGTTAGTCAGTGTTCACTCTAAACTCCGTTTATGTTATGATTAAATTTGAATTGAATATTTTGACTTGAATTTAGTTTGGAATATTTGTTTTAGCTGCATTATTTGCAAATTTATATAGAACAGAGTCAACCCGCAAATGATTCATAAATAAATGTTTTGTAATATAGACGGTTTTTTATATTTAAGCTGAGAAATTTGATTCCCAAAATGCATTCGAATCAAATTATCTCCCTGGTCTGTCTGTGTTTAACAACCATATCTACTAAATAATTAGATTGTTGTTTTCGGATGAGACTAAGGATTTAATTTTTAGCTTGTGCATTAATATTCGTCAAGTTACTGAAATGGACACGCACGACGATGTCCTGTCCCGATAAGTCTTTTCCAAGCAGGTTTCCGAAATTCTTCTGCTAAATTATATATTCTAAACTTGGATCGTGTTTTATAGTGGGAGATCCCTCATTTACCTCAAACCGCACTTAGAAGATCTCTTATCTAAATTTAGATACGAGTCTGACTTTGCAGTAGGAGAACACGCATATCACTCGAGGAACGCGTAAATCTGACACTCTATGTCGTAAATGTCTAAGTAAATGCTCAAAGTCGTAAATGCTTTATATCGTAAATCAGTCGCCCTATGCTCTGCATTTGAAGCACTGGGCAATCTGTAAGCTCGCTTTGGCTCGGGTCGACTAACCCTAGTCATTCTCTCGAGGCAATTAAAGTTGGAATGGGGATTACGAACATGCATAAGCTGATTTCGATCAGACCCAGAATAACTTTAAACCGAATGTAGCGATTTCTGGGCAGAAGCTTGGGTCGTACTCAAAAATTTTTATGGTCTTCCTTCTACAAATTATCTCACATTTTACTACTATCCTTGGGTATCTGCTTCTGATTGGATTGTCAATTGTGCTGGGCATCCTGACTTATCTGCCTCTTGTTCCCGATGTTGCTGGATCCCATGGATGTTCATGGAGCAGCGATAAAATACTGTTTCTTGTATATGTTTCAACTCTCACACTAATTTTGCAAGAGCGAATGGGTTAAGTCAAAATATTTCATGCCTCCTAACGGTTTAAATTCAAAATTGACCAATGCTTCATTAGGATAATTTTTTTCATAACTGGAAATAAATATGTTTCAAACTGTGCATTTAATTATTGGTTTGCATACACACACAATTTACTATCAACAAAAATGGCATTCACTTAAAATACCGGGTTTAATCCGCTGAGTTTAAAATAAGGATTCTTACACACATGATTTTTTTCAAATAAGAAGGATTATCAAAATATTTGTTCCTCCGAAGCTATTTGTTAATCCAGTGGCTCACATAATTCCTACATTAATTTGTTATATAAGGAGGTGCCAGCAGCAAGATAAAGGTCTGCTGGCTTTTTCGTATCAAATATTCGTTGGATATTTCAAATCAAACGGCTGCCTGACAGATAAAATAAATTTAAACTGCACGACATGAAATAATCTGACGTGAGCGCAAAGATCAAATGTCACATTCACTTATTGTTGTTGCCAAGCGACGCTCCTGTGAGTTGGAGTCAAATAAGCCAAATTAAGGATAAAAAAGTCTGCATACTTGAAGAGATCAAAATCTTTGGATGGATTACACGAAACTCGAATTACGGTGTGGGTCCGGTAACATGAAGTGATTTTGTGCATCTCTGTAGTGCCTTTCAAGGTGTGGGCGATATGCACGAGGGACTAGTTAGGAAACCCTAACTAGAATTTTGGTCGTCGAATTTTATTGGTAATTATTCTTTGAATATAATTTGCATCGGAAATTAGAGTCTTATAACCCTTATTAATAGTTATATATAATTCATTGTGCGTATTGAGTGAATTGAAACGCTAGTAAATGCACAGATACGGTGGATTGTGGGCGATTTACTTCAGGTGAGAATAACAAGCAATTCGGACATTAATTGCAATCAAGACTAACTGCGTATATATTTCGTAATTGTCAAAAATCTAAAAAAAAGATGTTTCATGCTAATGATGTGGTGTGGATGTTAGAGGCTCCACACATAGAGGTATAACTTCATGTATATTTTGTTATAGAAAATTTGGTTGCCAGCTTCACCTTTATTGAGATGATAAAAATATTCTATTGCCCGATGCCGGGAGATCGTGAAGTAAAATTAAGTAATATGTCTAGGTTTTCCACGTGATTGAAATTTTGATGAAGGGAAATGCTTTGTATAGAAGTCAGCTTAAGAAGTACACCGTGCACTATATATATACCTATATGTTACATGGGATTTTCTATACGAACCATCGTTGCATAATTCTCCGAGTGCTGAAAATGGCTGAAAATTGAGACGAAAAGGCAGCATATGAGGTTATGTAAAATTACAATTAGAAATATTCTGCCGTAACTGGCACTGAGATTGTCGATGATGACTTGTCATTCGATTTTTCATTTAAATTTGTTTATGAGTTAAATTGAAACAGAATCAACTGCCAAGCTCTCGAAACATTTCGAAAAAGTATTAGATTTTATGTAGAAAATGTGTATAATGTCTGATGAAATTCTGCGGCCATGGCTCTTCATTGTATACAAAAACTATTTACACGTGTGTCCTCAGACCATTTATTCTTATTTTTTCAAATCAAATGAGCTTGACTTCAATTGGGTAAATTTGGAGGTCACAGGAGAGGTAGCTCCTCCCTCCCCGATGATCGCCAGCCAATGGCGTGTGAGGTCCTCCGCTCGGCTGGGTATATAAAGTCGCGTGCAACCCTGCCGCTGCAGAACTGCTTTGCACCTTCATAAGGTAAGACTAATGCGGAGCTCTGCCTTATACGTATAACTATTTAAAGTTATGTCTTTTTGAGAATATCTATTATTTTCAGATTCATTCTATGTTAAATGACTAAGACGAAGTTAAGGTTCATATTTGATTTAAAATTCATATATAGGCTCAGAGCTGCATGGTCGGTCTTAATTCAATTTCACCGAAGATCTCATCGCATTTAATAATGTTTAGTATTGAGGTAATTTTTTGCATTTCTTGTTCTACAATTCACAAACGGGACAATACCATATAACTAAGCCATTTAACCTATTTCCCCTGCAGTTTTGTTCTACAATCTGCCGGTAAGATGAGAGTTTTGTTCGCTGCGCTGCTGGTGGTGGCGTGTATATCATACAACTAACCCATTTAACCTATTTCCCCTGCAGTTTTGTTCTACAATCTGCCGGTAAGATGAGAGTTTTGTTCGCTGCGCTGCTGCTGGTGGCGTGTATATCATACAACTAACCCATTTAACCTATTTCCCCTGCAGTTTTGTTCTACAATCTGCCNATTGTATGTTGCTGTTATGTTGTAAGCGGCACCTCCTTGGTCTGTGATATACATAGTTATGTTGATGTATGTTGTTATTGTATGTTACTGTTATGTTGTAAGCGGCACCTCCTTAATTGGTCTGTGATGTACATTGTTATGTTGATGTATGTTGTTATTGTATGTTGCTGTTACGTTGTAAGCTTAATTATGTCTTTACCATACATGTTGTAAGTGCTATATACAATAATTCTGCATTATATACATACAATACATTTTGTCAGTGCTACTTACAATACTTCTGCATTATATGCATACAATACAAGTTGTCAGTGATGTATGTATTACATCAGAACTCCGTGTTTAAAATACAGAACTATAAAATTAAATAGGTTCGGTGTGCGATCTCTAAAGCATATAGATGCGTGTAATGTCCATGCAGATTCATACCTTATATGACAGCACGTTAAGTCTATTTAATTCAAAATAATTATTCATGTACATTTGTTTAAAATTTAAACAATCCCAATATCTTAGACATTCCCTAATAAAAGCAATTATACGGCAGCTGATGCGTAACTGCTTCGGTGACCGCGCGTACGTTCGCTACATGAGCAAACTGCGCGCAGCTGAGGAGGCTTGCAGCGCCAAGCCCTACGAACCCACAGCCTTCCAGCCCAAGTATCAGCCCTACCGCCCAGGCTACTATGTGAGCATTGAATTGATTTGTAACATATTTAAAGGTCCAATGCAATGGCTATATTGTAAAGATAACAAAATAATGTTTGTTCGATTGCCTTGTCCAACTTTATTTCCCACTCCAATTCATTTATTGAAATTTTTGTGCGATTACAGCCTAACGTTGTTCATAGCTACAAATCTGTATTTTTTTATTTAATTATTGCTTTTCAATCATTTAACTTTGTTAACTAAACTATTTTCCTGACGCCCACCAGCACAATGGCTTCCAGTATTTCAACCGCGAGAAAGTCCACGACCTTTCCATGAAGATGAGGATGAGCGTAGCCAACGGCACCTGCGTGCTCCTCGAGATGGGATACGTAAGCCTTTTGTGTTATTTTCTCTGTATTGAATATACCCTGATAATCACCCGTAATATTTCGTTCTATGAAGCGTAACTCGACACCATTTAGTATCATATCTCTTGCATAACATATATACATACGAATATTTATGACTGTGCAGATTGACGAGTCGTACAACATCCAGACGCAGTACATGATCGATGAGATCAAGGACGTGGGGCGGATAGACAAGGAGCTCTTGCTGGACTTGGTGAACGGCATCAAGGACTGCTCAGCGTTCGCGGTCTGATTAGAATTAATGGACCTCATGATATTTTGATAAATCTAAGTCTAAATCATGTTCATTTTTCTCGCTTGGTGTCATTGAGTATTTTAACGATAGAAATATAAAAATTCATTAGACTGAATTCATATTTAACTAAATACTGACTAAAAATTCATACATGAACAACATTGTTTACAGCCATTTATCGTTGTAGAGCTGCATGCCGTACGACAACATGCAATATCCCATGACTGCCGGCACGATGCGGTACCTCAACTTCCATTCTATAATTCTGTTACAGAGCTGCATGCCGTACGACAACATGCAGTACCCCATGACTGCTGGCATGATGCGGTACCTCAACTTCAATTCTATAATTCTGTTACAGAGCTGCATGCCGTACGACAACATGCAGTACCCCATGACTGCCGGCACGATGCGGTACCTCAATTTCAACGTCTGCCGCGAGAACGCTAACCTCTTCGCCTGCATGAAGAAGGACGTGCGCAGTCGGCGCTACGAGTTCGAGGCCATCGGACCAGGAGCTTCGTCTGATCGTCTCACAGACGACGACAAGATCTTTTCGCTGCTCTGGGCCGAGGCCACTGCAACCAAGAGTTTTAAAAAGTTTTAATGATGATTTGGAGTAATTTTTCATGTGTCTGGATAATTTCATAATAGCAATGGAATATTAATTACATTCAATACAAAGGATTACTTCGGTTTCCCTAACTTGCATGAATCAGGTCACTCAACATAAATGTAGCAAAATTATTTGAAATGTTTGAACACATATAGAAACCATTGCAAATAAAGATTCGGATTCCTTTGAATATATTTCAATTAATTCCTGATATTACTGACTTACCAAGATATTGACAATGAGATTTGATCTGTTGATTTTGCGCAGCACTTCTAAATTTAGTAGTTGTCTTTGTTGAATCATCAAACTTTCAATTTCAATTTAAATATAAAGTTGAAAGCAAATATCAAGTTACCCTTACTGGCTAAAGTAAGAATTTTAAAGCAAGTAACGTGCTTAGTATACTGACCCCATATTGACGGAAACCTGGAATTTTCAAGTCATAGGTTTTTATGTTCATTGGTCCGAATTTTCGGCCATTCTGAGTTCAGTCTCTTCTTGTGAATTCAATTTTTTCCATTGATTGTACTTTATAAATTTTATAATTGATGATGAAGCTGATGAAGATACTTTAAATTTACTTAGCATCCTCTTTTCTTAGTAAGTTTGCTTTTTGAATTTTTAGTTAACCTGCGTTGTAAACTAGCTAATGACGTAAATACACGGCTATATAATCTACTTTGAATGGATAAGTTTCAAAGTTGAAGTTATATTTTAGAAATATAACTAGTATATGTATCTAATTTCATTTTAGGGGTCAAAAGCATCTTGCAGATCGAGAGCGTAGCCTCCGGCATCCAGTAGCTATATAGAGACAAGATATATTCAAATCCTAAACCTCAAAATCAATAGCTCAATACTGTATGCGGATGGTAATTGGAAAATAAGGTATTAAAGTAGTGTTATTTATAACAAAATAAATTGTTTTACCATTTTATATGCGTAAACTTTCGCTCTTTCAAAAATCAGTATCAGAACTGAACGCCCCGCAACATAACGTTGTCCACAGCAAGGGTACAGGGATCAATGTAATTTACTATATAAAAAGGAATATTGTATGCAAAATTTATCTATTATTCTCGTGAATTCTCTGCAAATACAAATTTAAATTGGAGAATATTTATAATAAGGTCTGTGCAGACATATTTCTTACGTCCATCTCTCTCAGGTTTTTCTCATTTCGAGGAAAAAAATAATTTTCTTCTGGAAATAAATCTTGCGTAAGAAAGACAATGCAGGTTGTGATGCGCATGTTATCACGTGCAGAATATCACCCGTAGGTTATCAAGACGTTGCCCGGTATAGATTATCGCTGCATTTTGGGAATTAAGTTACTTCAAATTCCGTCGTACCGAATCCTGTCTACCTTAATTTTTTTTTTGAAAATTTTCAAATTAAAGAACATTAATTGAAGGGACACTCGTTCGCATTCATTTTAAGCATGTTACTCCTAATAAAATTCAGCTTCTGCATTATAACTCAAACGTAAACTTGCTTGTAAAATATCATTTACACTTGCAAAACAAAAACATTTTTATTCTTTAATCCACTTCCCCTTTCATATTTTAAAGTTTCGTTCACTGGCAGAAAACAAAAACAAATATATTCACGCTTAATATCCCAGGTAATCACGATCGTGGATTTGGGCACAAATTTTGATAAATAGATCAAGACAACGAATAGAATCTTTATAAAGATAGATGAATTGTAAATTGCAAGGAAACACGGTCGAATCTTTCCCATTTCACTTCCTCTCTTAATTACACGGATATGTCGATCGTTTTCTTCTACAGTGAACATCAGGTGATCTTCATCACGTGCAATCAGACCCATGGTTGGTATTGATATTTAAGATAAAATACAATATATTAGTCTAATCACATTGATTTAGCACAACAGCGGTATTTTCAGTTCACTTTGTAATTAGAGTGAAAGTAAATATATTTTTATTCCACTTGCAATTACTGTTGATTTTGGACAATTTAGAATTGACCCATTTTTCATTTTTAATGATGCGGGTATGAATTTATTGTTTTATTTCAAATATATTTTCCAATTTCCCAAGTTTTAATTTTTATAACTCGCGATGAATGAAATAATATCAAACATGTGAGTTGTGCCGAGTCTCTAATATAGAGAACCATATAACTTGCAATCGGTGCGAATGAGCATGAATCTCCACCAAATTCGATATGTAGATTATTCACTTAAACGTTACATTGATAGTAATATTTCGAGTACATGCTATACAGCTATTTCCGCTGAGCATGGGTCCGCATGTTATAACCGCTACAGTTATTTCCGGAGGATCTCCACCAAACTCAAGAAACATGATACTCCTGCACCAGCGCATTATATGTAAAAATGTAATGCATGTTGTTTATATCGTTACTTCACTAGACAATTAACCAATAACAGTTCCATACGCAGTTAGATTTTCGTCTAATTCGCAAAGCTTTGCATTTTACAACAGGGCAGTGACTGGAATAATTTATGCGTTGACAAGATCCAGTCACTAGCTGCGCTGTGATTGATGCGCCCCAATTAAGTGTAGATCTCCATTGCAACCATTCCGAAAAGCCGTGTAATTTTTGCAATTGCACAGTGACTAAGAATTTGGAGGATTTAGTCGTTTCTGAATCTGTAAATTTACCGATAAATGTCCCAAATGGAGTTGGATCTCGAACATATCAGATCTCAAGAAATATGGGAATTTTAATCCTGCGCATGAATATGAAACTTTCAAGGATCTGGATTTAGTTATTTAAAAAAAAATAAAAATATAAAATAACAAATAATGTATTTTTGAAATTGAAAAAATTGTACAGAGCTGGAATATGAAATTTCTACCAACTTCATCTAACAGATAAATGAGGGTTATTTGATGAAGATGACTTTAAGAAGCTCTTTATTCATTCAACGTTAGTTCAGTTCGAGAATTATTACGATAGTTGAATGGTAGATTCGAATAAAATTATATATAAATAACAAGAGACATCTCTCTTCACTGTAATTCTGGGATTAACGAATAAATATTTTATAGGCTGGCTTGTATTTTCCATTGATTCATGTAATCGGAGCAAAATTCGCAGAATTTTGAATAGTCTTCAACTATTTTAGTCGGACTGCGAACTTACGCAATTACACTATTTCTCACGCGCAGTCATAACTTGTCCTATTGGATGTAATTTCAGGTAAAAAATAATTTGTATCTGTTGTCAATTAATGAACAAAATTAACGGAATAAATATTTTCAAGTCCCATTTAGACTTGTGCATTATAAAAAAGTTTTACCAGCGTCCACTCAATGCCTCTCAAATTGAATCAATGGCAAATAATTAAAAGATCTTCCCAAAGTCCGTAGACTAGAGAATATAAGCATAAAAAAACTTTCGATTGCACACTCGCTTATGTGGTATAGTAGAAGCAACACCAGCCAGGCTCGCGGCAGCGGTGCTGTGATGCGTACACAAGTTCACTGTACGACTCGAACTGCAGGGCACACGACGACGTTTATTACGGCTAATGATGTTCAGTAGCCGTTTCTTCGATTATCAATGTGAATTTCAACGAATTTATCAATTCAGAAGATGAAAAAATATAGAAATTATTATAAATAAAGTTATTAGTTGAAAAATGATATTATCTACGGATAATTAAAATTGAAAGGTATCTAATATGATTTATAACAATTGTATTGCACATTGAAACGAAATTCATATGCAAGGTAAAAGAAAGCGTAATGTTAATGTTCCCCAATATGCAACCAAATGCATCTTAAACGCAAGCAAATCTTATCTCACAAATAGCTTTAATTTTTTTTTGTATTGAACAAGTGCAAAAAAATAGAGAAAAAATGCAAAAAAATAATATTAGAGGCACGTCGGTCTTTCTACCGACTCTTACGTTGGTAAACTACGGCCGCTTAATTTGCAATTGATTCTTCATTATAAACAGGTGAACCTGGAAATAGATGGCGAGGTAATAGAAATATTCTAGGTAATTTTCATATAAATAGAAATGAACGTGACGTTATTGTGACAACTCTGCCCCCCTTTAGGAAAATAATTCATTCTGTACAATAACTGTTAACGAATCGGCGAAAGCCATGTCGAGAATTTAATCCGTCACCAAACACCAACACACCTGCCAGATGTGACGGTCTTGCACGCCCAGTCTAAATAATTTACCTTTCGTAAAATATAATATCAAAAACGAGAAACTGGAAAGGTAGTTAACTCTGTTACTAAACGCTAAATTAATCATCTTAAGCCAATCTTAACATTACAACAGTTGCCATTTCTGGCTTTTATCTAACTAAACCTTGTAGTTTTACACAACGCAAGGCTGCATGACGGCTGCACGCTGCCACGAAATCGGTAATTCGCTCATTAATGCTTACGTAACTTGACACGCTGCTTTACTTTCTTCATGATTTCTTACTTCGATGAAGTCCGCAAATATTGTTAACAATAATCCTAATTAGTTCCTACAGTAGATAATAGAAGCCAATCCAATAGGAGATGGCATATCAATGGCAATCTATCCAGTAGTAAATGAATTATTAAATGAAGTCAATCCAGAAGTGGATAACCCGGCTCGAACCTACTCTTTAGTTTAGATTATTCTTGAACTGTTTTACGAAAAAAAAATTCCTACCGAAAGAAGAAAAAATATCGCCTACGCAATCTTATTACTGTTTCCATTCTCACCAATCATTTCTTATCTGATTCTATTAGAAGGTTTGGTTAGAGTGATGACTGACGTGAGTATCCATTGCTAATGTTTGGAAAATAATCACTGTTCGCGTAGAGTTGTCCCTGTCTGCAGTGCACGTAACAGAAATAATTATTTTATTATTAATCAAAATTTGAAAATGCAGCTTGCAACATTTTATTTGAAAGTCAAAAACTCGTCCACGTGAATGTTACTGCCTGTGTCATCGAGTACACGCATTAAATATTCACCAACTGGAGTTCTCCGTGCTAACTAAAAATTTATTGATTTTTTTAATTTATTGCATGACTGATGACCAGCTCACCGGCAATCCCGTTGATTGATGACCAACTCATCATCTATTTCGTTAATTGATGAACTCATCGAAGCAAATTCCAACTTTTTAGATGAAATTCTCCAGCTTGCCACTTACTCGATCACTTTTCTTGATTTCTGTTTGTCTGTGGAGTGTGGATCATATAATACTGTAGAATTTATTAGGTTAGAAAAATAGGTTAGTGTGCCTTCATCTCAGCAAGGCTTGCTTAGTTGATGCATCGTAGACGCGCTTCACTAGCGCGCTGGATCAAAATTACAAGTCATCCAGGCAATGATAACGGATCTTTCTAACGGCTCCGACATTGCGGCATGTGCTCGCGTTCCTATATAACTGTCTTTAACTAAATTATGTTTTATTATAAGGCTCTGTGTTTAAAGATTCTATTGAAGGATTATTTTAGGCTTCCTTCACAAAATTTTGACGCGTTATTTACGTAATATTGACACTCATCTTATGAACTCGTTTGCTGACATAGTTCTAGCTTCTGTCTCGATTAAAATATCTGTACTGCAGCTTTCATACAATTGTAGTATAAGTTATGTGTTTAGTTTGTTAGTTTAGTTGGAAAAGGTGTAATTGACCTTATGATAGTAGTTAAATGTTTCAATTGGTCACTGGATAGGTGCCTTGAATGCAGTGACAGCAGTTATTGTTCACACATCAGCATTGTCTGAATTTATTGTTGGAGCGAACATTGCTGCAGCTGCTGCGAGTGCAGGCTCGCGCAGCTGCGGCTGGCAGCGGCGGCTGTGATGCAGACACAACACCTTGCGTGCTGGCTCATAACGGTGGCATGTGTACGAACAGCTCACTTAGAAAACGTACAGAGCTTCATGATTAACTAATGTTCAATTTGTGTCTACGATAATAATGAAATCTTTCTGGGCGCTAGAAATTTACTTGTTGAGTATCTTTGAACGATATGAACAACATATGTTGTGCTTTAACTAGTTTATTTTACTAGGGGATTCGTAATCTTCAGCTATGAATCTAAAAGCGTTTTATTCTAAAAACTATCAGAAACCGCTCAAATATATTTTTTAAGGAGTATGAATCTGATTTACGAATATAATAAATTATAATCTGATTAGAGAGGTAAAAAAATTAAATTAAGAAGGAACTAATTGAAAGCAGGGAAGGAAGGCAAATTTTTGTATAATTAAAATTGAATTTGCATCACCTTCATTTTTTTCAAATCGCGACATCACGAGCACAGAGGCTGTGCTCGTTGGTGCAGTGTCATGAAAATCAACGCAGCTTTGCTCATTCATAGCTATACGTATATAATACTGCTCACATTCATGCTCACAGTGTTGTGGGAGATCTTCAAACATTTATAGGCTATCCGTCACCTGAGGCGCGATAGTGTTAAACTGTAAACTCTTGATAACTTTATTGGGTGCCAATAACCACGGACGACTTTATTGGCTTTATTGGGTGCTAAAAACCAAGTAGCATCAAAAGATTAGGACAATACGCCCACCTGGAATACACGACTTAATATTCATGCAAGTAAACCTTATTGCAAACTCTGCAAACCTTAAACATGCTCGGGCCGGTGAATGTTCGACCTCCACAGCGAAATCGGGAGAACAGACGTCCCTGGAGTCCCTTCGTCAACTCTTATCGCAAATGTTAGAGCTCCGTGTTGGCGTCGGGTTCTCTCTCGCAACCTTCGAAGTCATTTGCAACCTCATGACAGTTCCACAGGTTTTCACGACAACTCTTCACTGTCACGATGGCTTGTATCCAACTATGAGCAGGAGATTTTCTTCCCACAAATCCCCCGCTTCAGCAGGACGCTCGGGAAAATCCGCCACTCTGAGTGAGGTAAACAAGAAATAAACTAAGTGATGTGAATTATAAAATGGAAAACGGCAATTCTTTCCGAATAAAATCACGAGACGATTTCCAGCGATCACCCAACCGCCGATCATTAAAAAGGACCCGGAGTTGGGGTAACGATCTCCTCACGTTAACAGCGGGAACCTGGTCAACAAAAGACAACAATATAGCGCAGCTACAACGGTTGTACTGTTCATATTCCTGCTCACAGTTGAACTGTTCACATTCCAGCTCACAGTTGTACTGTTCTTATTCCTGCTCACAGTTGTACTGTTCATATTCCTGCTCACAGTTGTACTGTTCATATTCCTGCTCACAGTTGAACTGTTCACATTCCAGCTCACAGTTGNTCTCACAGTTGTGCTGCTCACGTCACTTCTCACAGTTGTGCTGCTCACATCACTGCTCACAGTTGTGCTGCTCACGTCACTTCTCACAGTTGTGCTGCTCACATCACTGCTCACAGTTGTACTGCTCACATCACTGCTCACAGTTGTGTTGCTCACATCACTGTTCACAGTTGTGCTGCTCACGTCACTTCTCACAGTTGTGCTACTCGCACACCTGCTCACAGTTGGCCCAGCTCACAGCGCTGTCGATTTGACAAAAATGATGAAATGTTAGAGCTTACATTGCGCGTGAAGATACAGGAGTGGTGAGATGACATATATTACAGTGCCGGTGAAAAGGGTGATGAGATGGTAGAGCTTACAGTTCCGATGAGGTTGTCTGGCCTGCCTGCTGCCGCATCAGCTGAGGCATCGCCTAATAAAGGCTTGCAGTGATCCTTGGTCCTAATTGCGTTGGCTAAATATTGAACCTATAACTCATACTTCTCAAAAAGCCCTTGTATGCGTCCCAGTTCAATAACTTAACTCACGAAGCAAGTTTTCAAAAATCGATATACGTATATAGGCATGGATTAGTATTCCAAAAATTTATCAAAAATTACATCTTCAGGATTGACATGTTCGAAAACACATTTAGCAAGCAAAGGTTGCATATCGTAGATGCTAGGCGAAACAGTGCCTAGTGTCTCTATCAACTAACTGCTCCAGGTGTACGTCCAACAACCTACACTATTTACGTTTACTTATTTCACCTTACAGAATAAATTCAGATAACAAAGTATAATAAAGTATGTGACCAATGATTTTCTAACAAAGTGAAACAGGTGATAAATGGTTGAAGTTAGAGTTCCGGTGATGTTGTAGGTAATTATTTAGGTGAGAACATCCAGCGAAGTGTGAAGAAGGTACAGGCTATTGCCGCTGCACATTCGCTCCAGTGACGGCGTAGGCATCAGACGCGTCTTGCTCGCCACTGGGAGTCGTCCTGCGTTTGGAGACCGTAACACAAGTTTCATTGATCATTTATGTGTTGCGTTACTCAATATATGGTGTGTCATTTGGTCCATACCGTATTTTATTTCGTATTTCTGTAAATATATATTTTTTCGTCTTATAGACGAGTGCTCAAGTTTTTATTTCAAAATGAAATAATATTGAAAATAAATAAAGATCAAGGGTTGGATCTTCGGTGCTAAGAGTTTCAATCAAGTCTCAGAGATGTTCGTTGTTGTTATGGTTGATTAATGACTGCAAAGTTGCATTAATTTTCATTATATAGAAAGCTTTTCCAGCTCGAAAAAATTGTACAAAATTAAAGTGAATTGACCTTATTGCTTCCGGCGTTTGAATTGTAATTGGGTAAAAAACATGCCCGTTTCACATGAAGACTCCTTAGTCAATTTTACAGTCTCAGGCTAATTCGCTAATCTCTCTTAATATGTTTCAGAACCGTAACGACAAGTTATTTTGACATTATTCCTTACAAATTTGAGATTCAAATGATTCATAAAGACTGTTTTAGTCTCTAGATCCTCGCTAAACACTCCTGGCTAAACCAAGAGATAGATTTATATATTAAAAATATATATGTTCTCTGTAAAAATCATCACAATGACGTGCTCCGTGCGATGGTTCACATCTACGGCAAAGATGGTAAGCTTTAATAATGCTAATGCGGGCTTGAGATACACTGACTATGCATTATCAAATTTTTTAATATACCACTGAACTCATGAAATGTGAGTAAATTATCATATTCATAAAGTGATACGTTGCCACCTACTTAAAAGTTTAGAAATTTGTTCTCCAATTTACTAATTACCAGAGACCTACGAAGCACTTTGAATTGACATGCCTACACATTGACGTTCTCTAAAGAAGAAAGTTTTATCATAAAATTCATGCCATCATTGAGCCAAATTATGATTTCTTGGTCTCGATATTCCAATGTGTAAATGAACTAGAGGTAATTCTGTATTGAAATTAAGTGAAGTTCTACGACAGAAATTTTCCAGCACTGTCATATTGCGTAAATAGATGCTGCAAACATCGGTAAAATGATAATTAAACATTGATAAACATTTAAGAGAACTTTGCGCATTATGGTTATTTAAGGCACTGTTTCCTATGATAGTCTCTTTATTATTATTTTTTAGCAATCTCTCAAATAGTCTCCTTGAATGTTCCTAAATGGCTACATGAAATAAAAAATTCATTTCTATCCAAATCAATCAATTAAAAAAAACTCAATCCACTGTAGGTTCTTTGGACAATATTTCCCTCTAGGGCCTGATGCTACTTCTGATTGCGGCCCCCTCGGTGCGAGCCAGCGACGTGGCTGTTGCAGCGGAGGAACTCCCTCAGCCTGAAGCCCTGAGGTCATCGATGCTTGGAGGGAACTCATTACGACCTTCCTATGATCCTAGGGATGCCTACAACAGCCTGAGAATGTCACACAAAATGTCTCGAGAATCTCGTAAGTTATGAAACATTTTAAAATTACTTCACCTATTTAAAATAGGGAAACTTAATGGAACACGTTCAGAATACTTTTTACCTCCTTATATTATTACTAAAGTGGCAGCAAGTGGCGTTTTCGTTAACATGCTGATTGAACATGTAGTATTCACTAAACCCTTTTCCAACTGTTCAACACTATGACAAAATTAATTCACACGGGTCAAATTAAGTGTACCTTCCACTTTATTGTTGTGCTATTTCAGATTGCGCAATAGTTTATTTTTTCTGTCATGATTTTAACTTAACTTGAGAAAAAGCCTCGCCATCATTCCTTAGAAGCAAAGTTCAGACGTAATTTTTATGAATAAATCATTTTTTAAAAACAATTTGTCATCAAGGTCAAGGTTCAGAGACTGCGTTGCGGCTGGAAGAGAAGCTGCGACGAGCGCTGACACAGCGCAAGGGCAGCCCTGTGTCTTCCAGGCCCTCCCAGGCTGACGGTGAGAGGAAAGTTAGGGCAAACTAGTAAATATGGAAAATTCAAGTTTAAAACAATTAGATGAAAAGATGTGGTTAGGCGCGCAAAAATCAATATATCTTCGCAACATTGCAGCTTTCATACTATGAACTTACGTGGCCGCTGCTTGTGCATCTGACTGCGGGCCCCTTATTTACTTTATATAAATGCATAGATTGGAATTGGCGTCAGTAAACTCGTGGCTTGAAAGGTATAGTAAATAAATAAATTTAGAGTTTGTGATATAAATGCACTTATTCCGTCACGCTGCAGGGATGAAAAATACTAAGATCTCTTTCATGTCACAGACAGCGATTAGCATTAAATTTTTCCCCAAAGGAAATTTGAGCCAATTATGAAGTTATGAGGTGCCTTATTAAAAAATGGTCATAAACGTATAACTCTTCAGGCAGTCTTGAAAATATTTACGGTGCGGCTTTGGTCGAAAATAATTCACCGGCCTGCCATAAATTGCCTTCAGTTCATAATGAAGCTTGCGCCGCACAAGTTGTAGCATGAGAGTCTGGAAAGTTAGGGAGGATGTGTACGAGCGACCGAGGGTAGGTTAAGGGGACCGTCTACCCAAAAAATCGGAAATTTTGGCTTTTCCGTTTTCTTAACTCATTTTGTAGCTGCTGAAAAAGCGCGTCTAACGCAGTTTACCGCATGTCAGTAATGATGATGAAACAGTTACCCGTAGCTGCTCTCACTGGCGTAGCCCCCGTAGTCTGATGACGATGCAGCTCCCACGAGGTCTTCTGCTGCACCACGAGGTCTTTATCATTACGCATTACTAAGAAAATAAATGGCATAATAGTTTTTGCGTAAGACAATTTAAAAAATATATAAAATGAACATTTTTTAACAATATGTACAAAGATTTATTTGAATTAAATCTGTATATATAGATCATTACTTTCGTTAATTACTAAGTGTTTGCACTCGTTTGAAAGCTACAAACGAGACGCGTTCAACAAAGCTACTACCATTGATGTACATGCAAAATTTTTTGTGTAATGCAGTCTTAAACTTTTATAAAATGAACATTTTATAACATTATTTACTAATAAATGGTATTTATATGTCATTATTTAGGTTAATTGCAAAGTGTTTGCACTCGTTTGAAAGCTACAAACAAGAAGCGTTCAACAAAGCTACTACCATTGATGTACGTGCAATAGTTTTTGCTGAATGCAGTTGTAACATTATGTAAAATGAATATTTCATATATATATTTATATATAAAAAGTCCAATTTATAGCTTATTATTCACGTTAAATTTAACATAAATAGGTCTAAAGACGCTTGCTGGTACCCCGAATGCAAATAATTGGCAATGGGAAAGCTTGGGCTACAATATCAAGACTTTTTTGGATATATTCTTCTGTTCTCAATGAATTTTACTTTATTTGGCTCCCCTGAACTATTTAAATTTTCGTTTTTTGTTTTTTTTGAAAACCTATCTCCTCCTACAGTTTTCAAGCTACAGCAATGAGACATATACCATTCGATTTGTAAAAACCATACCTATAGACTCTGTGATCACTTTTTTGAATTTCAGGCTGGTTCGTTTTTTATATGGGGGAGAAGGGGGGGGGAGGGGGGAAAATGAGGAAAATGTGATAAAACGCGCATAAAAAACTAAGGGGAAAATGAGAAAAGTGATCACAGAGTCTATAGGTATGGTTTTTACGAATAGGATGATACATGTCTCAATGTTGTATGATGATATTTGTAGGAGGAGATAGATTTTCTAAAGTACCCGTTTTTAGCCGTTTTCTGTGAATTTCACGTTTTCTATCAATTTTTTCAAAAAATTCATACGAACAAAATATAATTTTTTTTACATTTTACGTGTGTATGTGAAGTTTCACGATGATCGGATAATAGCTGTAGAAGTTTTTACGGAGGGTAGATGGTCCTGTTAAAGAATATGATATACAGTAAACTAGGAGATGGACTGAACGTTAGGTGAAGGGAGCGAAGATAATTCAGTAATAAGGATTAGGTTAGATTAGCGGAAATTATGGAAGCGTATGCAACTCTGTCTACTTATAATAATTAAATTTGCCATCAGAACTTTCCTTACTCTAGGTTTTTACCACGGCTCCAATTTTCTACTACAATATTACATAATTCATAATCAAGCTAAAGATTATTGTGTTGGTGCAGCAGAAGACCTCGTGGGAGCTGCATCGTCATCAGACTACGGGGGCTACGCCAGTGAGAGCAGCTACGGGTAACTGTTTCATCATCATTACTGAAGCGTCCTTCCTAAATTTAAGTTTAGGGACTGTATAGGTGTAAATATTTTGTTAATAACGTAATACTGACATTTGTTATTATTGTTCACAATGAAGCAATCTAATCAATGTCATTATTTGCTGCCGCCAGTCTGACTTGCACGTCAGGATACGTCAACACGTCCGCCGTGGCGCTACTCGCTTTCCTCTTCCTTCTCAACATCGTCCAGGTAAGTTTTTTTATCAATATTTATTGATGAAAATTTCATATTAGCAATGTTTTATATCCACATATTCCAGTTATTTGAATAGTTTATTTATCAACCATAACTGTCGCCAGAAAATAAAGATATATAATGTATTTTGATAAATAAAAATGATTGGTCCTTCATTCGAATGATAGATTAAACTGTTTATCATTCCTCCTATTAAGGACGTAATTACGCAAATCACGGGGCGTCGCAAGCGCAGTACGGACGAAGAGACCACGCCTCTCGAGCAGTTCCTCGTTGACGGCGGAGTGGATGGTCTCTACGAGGACCTTCCTGCGGTGCTGCTACCGCTCATGGTGGGTGCTTAACTGATTTACCTGATGCAATATAACTGTCAATTATACCTACTTATTTTGCTTACTTTTATAATTAATTTCAATTATGTTCACATAATTTACTCCGACACTGTTTGTTTGGCCGTGTCAGGTGAAGTTGTCAGATGCACAACACCCGCGGTGCGTGCGGCGTCCGCTGTGTGAAGCAAACCTGCACCTGAGCCAGACGTACGGGCCGGTGGGTCGCGTGGTGGGCTCCCTGGTGAGTAACATCGCGGCCAAGACCTTCAGTGGGGCCCGTGCTGCCCACTTTGACGAGGCCATCGAGGCCGCGGCCACCGGCAGGAGTGGGTCGTGTCATTTGGTGCCTGCGTGTTTTCAGGAGGCTGAGCCTCAGCCTCATTACCCAAAATCCTAGTTTATCGCTATTGTGAGCAGGATAATTTTCTGTTTATTTATTATTAGAAATTATTATAATTAAGAATTATGTTCGCTACCTTGTTAATTATGTTTTACGTAAATCTGCTTTCCATTTCATGTGAATTTTTCTACCCAACATTATACCAATATTATAATGCATTATATTAGTTCTTCTGTCAAGGAATCATCCCCATTAGAGTAACGGCAGGCCTTAAATTTATTTTCCATGCATGAACTATTTTCAAGGCATGGTGCTTCATGATATTGTTTTGTGCATTATATTTTTACACGTTATTGGTTTCTTTCGTTTTTATCAACCAAACCATCCATCTTCTAATAAATTTCAAGATATTTCTATCACGTGTTTCCAGGTATGCCATCAGATTTCCCGGCAATCGCAACAATTACAATAGAAAAAAAATAATATACTTCTAAACTTTACTGGCACGGATAATTCAGATTTGAGAGTTATTTAAACTGAATCAAATGAGAAAGCTAATCCCAAATCGAATCCCAAAGCTAATTTTTCGATTAAGGTTATGAGAAAAAAACCTTTTAGACTCAAAATTTGAATATGATTCTCATATTTTTCTCAAATTTGAAATAAATTTTAACTTTTTACTTTGCTGAGCAAAATTAAATTTACTGAAAGAGTACAAGCCACTTATACTATTTTCCATGGTTTTGTATTGCCTTTTGATTCTATTAATAAAAGTAGAGCTTTAGCCTCATCAATCAAAAAATTGTATTTATTGTCCCTATTTCTTACACATTCCGTGGCAAGGTTCAAGCACAGCAACTTGAACACAAACGTACGAATAACATAGATTCAAGAATAGAAAGAAGGTTATATACACATATACTTGTTTTTAATTAGCTGATCATATATGCACCTTAATTGCATATATCAACTATTCCCATGAAAATAATAAGACAATTGTTCGAAATATTAAAAAATTTACTTGACTCCAAAAAAAGTATCAATTAAGTATACGAGATGCAGTGCGACATTCTAAAAAATGTTTGGGCGCTCGAGATATCGATTTCTGTTTATTAGATTATTTTGCATGCTTGATGCGTGTCATCAAGCAAAACTTGAGAGGATAAACAGAATTCAGAATATATTCGCTGGATATGGCTTCCATCAATGCCGATAACGTATCCACAGCATTGAAGTCGCCAGCCTTCAATGGAAACGGGACTAGAAACCACATCATCTGAACCCATTTTATACTGAAACTGAACCACATCTTTCTAGTCTCTCGAGGGATGAAAATGCTATGCAGACATCTAGTGATTATCGAACTCAAAAAATCGTAATTCGGATAAGGGCTCTTTATATTTACGGTTTTTAGCGACGAGCGGAGAAGTATAGTGCAGCATCTGCTGGGTGGTGGCTTGTAAATCATTGGGTGGTGCATAATTTTTCAAGTAGTCTTTAAATAATCAGATTCTGTATAATAACTGTGAATTTGTCGTAATTCGAATGGAGCTGCGACTTAATTGCGGTAGTGATATACGAAAAAATGGCATCCGTGAAGAGTGTGCGATACTTGTGAAAAATATATTGTGGAAACAATAAATAAAGTAAAAGGTATTAGGTACAGATAAAAATGGTGTGACGGCAAAATAGGATTGACACACACTGCGTTCATTTAAAATTTCAAAAAATATTCCTTAAACAATATAACCTAAGAAATGAGAGGAAGTTACGGCATATACATCAGTTATTTACTTGAGCGATACCGTATCGGAAGAAAATATCCAAATTACGGTGTTTAATTGTAAGCTTAGAGACTTTTTGTAGTGGTAATATGTAAGTAATAGATATATGTGGTATAGAACTACGCACAATTTCTGCTGAACTTCTATAATTATATTTGAATACTTTCATGTAAAACATTTTCACGAATTAATGCGACGTTGTTCGGAACTCACAATCAATGTTCTATTTTCATGTTGACCAAAACAGTATTATTAAAAGAACATAGATGCCGAAATAACTGAAATAAAGATGCGACTAAATAAAATAGGCTTTTCATTTGCATAAAACTCTTCACAATAAAAAGTAATGTACTGTGCCAATCTAATAATTAAAACCCTCATTGCAAATAATGTCTTTTCTCTAGGCAAAATAAAAAACTTAATGAGTAGATGTTTGTCAGCGAACATGGGAAATATAATCGTCAATCTAGTAAAAGGACCTTAGGTAGGAACTGTACCATCAAGGTGATGAAAAAACTTTATTAGTGAAAACAATTAATTCATAACTTCATACATTAATATTTTTCACCTGGAATAGATTATTCAGTGAATTTTTTATACGTAGTATGTCGGCATTGCATAGTAATCCGCTAAAATAAGGCGAAAAATAAAAAAACAAATTCTATGATTGACAAGATTTCATTAACCCTTTACAATACGAAAAGAAACAGATTAGTGTTATCTCCCACGAATAAAACATCCAGAAAACTCTTTCATATATTCGGATTTTTTCAAGAACATGAAAATACGCCATCGTAAAAACCTAACACAACATCTACTACCATATCTTGTTTCCATCCCATACGCTACCATATCTAGCTACCGGTTACAAGTCACTGAATTGAAGTTTATTATATGTGATGTCTTCGGATTGATGGTAAATAGCAGGATTAAAAGAAAAAGTGCCTCGTGATTATGCCATAGCAGGTATATTCATAGATTAATGCCCATTCCATTAAATTACATTACTATAATTTTCTTCACAAACTGTAAAGGGCTTTATTATTAATTTTACATATATTCGAATGTTGAAGAAAAGTGTCACAAAAGTTTTATAATCTCACATTACAGACAGGATTAAGTGGAAAATTTCACGATAAACTAAATAGATAAGCTGTTACTGTTATCACAGCAGGAACCGTATATCATTGTAAGTTCTCACAAATATTACGGCAGGAACTGTATACCATTGTATGCGTTGCTATTATTTTCCGTACCATCGGACAACGACAGATTTGCATGGTGAACGAGTTGGTACTTCGGGCGACTGTTCTTGCACCGAGTGAAGTAGTTATCGCAGGATAAGAGTTGCCTTCCTTTCCTCGAAGCTTCTTGCACTTTCTGAATTTAATGAGACGAACAAAATATAATATGAAATCATGTGATCAAGTGAGCGAAAGTGCGTCAAAAGCCTAAATATCACCTGCAATACGTTTGTGTGAAGTCCAAGAACTTCGTGTGATAAAGCTCAGTGATCGCATGATTGCTCAGTGAACGTAAAGCTCAACCACTAACTTGTAATTACTAAGGTCACTTGATTGCCATAATCGCAAATTTATAAGGATTTTTGAAAACAAACAAATGACATAAAAATCAACCCAAATTATATGAAAGAGAACCTCTTTGAATTCCTTCTAAATTTCAACAATGCACATAATTGCTCCCACCTGCATGGCGAGCACCCTGCCCCCCGTAAAGGCCTTGGCCAGGACGTTGGAGAGCAGCGAGCCGATGATGCGGCCAACCTCGCCGAAGCGCCGCACCAGCGCCGCGTTGGCGTCGCATAACGGCGCTGACAGGCACGGCGTGGGGTGCTGACCGTCAGACGACTCGCTCAGTGATGTCTGAAGACAAACAATAACAATAATGTTATGCATTATTTTTATTTTGGTTTGATTATGATTCTGCATTATTCGATGGATAATCTGGGTTATTACAGGTGCACTAAAAACAGCGGATGATGCTATCACTTCGTAAATTTAAAATCAGCAGCCTTCTGCACAGTCTCTCAAAATGCAAAAATGCTTTTATTAGTTATTAGTATGGTAATTACAATTATTGGGACTATAAAAACTATAGTTCAGATATCACATATTATTCATTCGTTGATTTCAGGAACCAATTTTTTGTAACTCACAATGAGTGGGAGGAGAATATGAGGTAGCTCCTCATAGAGGCCGTCGGCACCTCCCATTTGAATGAATTCGAGCACAGAGTTGCGCTCGAATTCCGAGTGCAGGTTTGAATCGTGCCCGAAATTCATGTTGAAGTTAGAGTTGTTCGAGTTGACTGCGTTATAATCTGCCAGCGAACGGCTGCGACGACGCCTAGGCGCAGCGGTTGTCGTGGCCGTGGTTATTTGCTGGACGATGTCCTTAGGGCGTTGCAAAAAAGGGCTTTAAGGCGCTGTGTGAATATTGGCGATTAAATACTGCAGAATGCCCTTAATTTTATGAGCATACAACGGTACAGTAGTTTTAAGTTTTGAATAATGTTTCATTGTATACAATATGAATGCGAAAAAACACAATTTCATTGAAGATGCATAGCATCATATGCTACAGAAATGATGGGCACACGAATATCTAATTATTTTTATTACCATATAAATTTCATAGTAATTAAATCGAACCACACAAAAAATTAGTGCAATATTGTCCAAATAACGATGCTCTTTTTGATATTGTAAGGGTCGTCCTGACCCAGTTTTTCCGGGCATTGAGGGCGTTTAGGTGCTTCGTACTGGAAGTACGTCATCATTTGGACACTTAAACCAATATATTTTTGCGTGTGCTCTCAATTACTGTGCAAAAAAAAGTTTTTTCATGCAAAAAAATCATTCGCAATTAGGGTAAATAAATTAATTAGGGCCACATATAATCGCCGATAAACGTTTCAAGTTGGCAATGTCTTTGATGATTCAAACTTCGTATCTTCCACTATGAAGTTTCAATTAGAGAAGAAAATTATACCAAGAGTTTGGGAAAATACCTTCTAGTGTTACTGTGAGTCATTTTAATCGTGATCCAAAGTACCCTCCGATAAATAATTGAAAGAAACCAAAGAATCATTCATGTAGGGAATGACAAATATAAGAAAGATATCCGATATGTTGACATAAGACCACCATGCCGAGAAGGCCTGTGTTCGAAGAAGTGCACAGCGCAGAAAGAGAATCGGGAGGAGTATATCAGTAACAAATTCTAATTGAAATTTACTTCTCATTTTTAATTGAAAAAATTCATTGTTATCCAACGAAATCTATTTTCACGAATTTCCTACTGTCAATACATGTGAAAGGGAGTGAAATTTCCTTGTTTAGTTACATATTAATGAAATTGAACTCAAAAATGTCTTTTGGTAAGTTGTTGGTATGCTGTGTTACCGAAATTCTTTATTGATAATTTAAATTTTATCTGTTCTTTACGAGTGCAGTTAAATGTTTAAATGTTAGAGATAGCCGTATAGAAATGTTTCACTCACTGAATAAAATGCTCGCTCACGCACACACACACATAAACATACGCCACAGTTTAACGCATATCACCCTCTGCAGACATGCTGCATTGCGTGCAGCACGATCATCGTGATTTATTTTTGAGCTACAAAATGATTTATTGATTATTTAATTGCCCATTCAATGTGCTAACTTATTTTATTCACAAACCGAAAACTACTCGTTATTTCAATACAGAATTACTTCAAAGTTAGAGCTTCATTCCCATCATTTACCTCACTAACGCATCTCAGGTTCTCGGATCAGTCATCGCCAGACAACATTCCGTTACCGCTATCCAGTCCAGCGCGAGTATAACGGAGCTGTGTAATATCGACAACTGGACGCAATGGTGCGGGAAGGAGCTAGGAAGGTGCGTTACTTCTATTATGAAGAAGGTGGAAGAATTTTGTCACTGCAAAGCTGCTGACATAAAAGAAATTCCCCTAGAAAAAGGAAGTAAAATAATGTAAGGTGGTTTATGTGTACTCTCGCGAAATTAAAGTTTTGAAACAAAAGAAAAATTTGAACAGTCAGTCAACCATCCCAATGCACTTCAAAACTACACAATTATAACATGTGTACTCCAAACCGTACCCGAGCTTGATTCTCCCCCAGCGACACACCCTTCAAAGAGTCGTTACCATGCAGCCAACACAAAACAATCTTTCCTTTACTCTGTTGCCAACACAAAACAATCTCGCCGCTATACAGGCAGTCGCATAATAAAAGCCAGCCCGATGATGCTTAACGGCGAGCCCAACATTTGTCTTATTTTTATACATCTAATGTTGTTAGTATAGTTTGACACCTTCAGGAATCGAATTCGATGAAAGCTTTGTATTGTTTTTGGCAAATGTGTAAAAAGAATTATAAAAATACATTACAAAATTTTTACTTCAAGTTTTTCTTGGTGACAAAATTGACCCATGTCATTTATCGTCTTTTACAGGCTTGATTGAAGAATCAAAATCGAGGCATTGGCTTGGTTTGCTCAAGATTAATTTAATTAGACCAACAGAGCCTAATCTGAAACTGGAAAAACAAGATCAAAACCTAAGAAACGTACCCTGAGCAAATCGATGAAGAGGATGAAGCTGAGCAGGGCTAGCGCAGAGTTACAGTCGATATAGTGCCTGAGGAAATAGTAATTCGATGAGACAAGCGAAAGTTCGATCCAAGTGAGATGTTGAGACAATGACTTTAGTCCTAAATCAACAAAAAATGCCGATCATGCTCGCTTATCTAAGATTATGCAACACACTTTGCGCCAAGTTCTGTTCATATTTTTGCAATGGAGCTGCACCCCAGTAACATTTATATAGATACGTGATCCATAGTCAAGAACTTATTAGTTTATTTTTATTCCGGTTCCGGAATACGAGCATCTTCTGTCGCTGCCATCTTATATAATATACGCGTTGCATGAAGAATGCTCATTGTTGAACTTAAGTATTTATTGTTCGTTCGATATTGTAACTGCCAGTTGTCTGGTGTAGGGAAAAGTTCATCTGCCACCTAAAATCTGCCAGACAATTTTTTCAATCTTATATTTTCCGTAATATCTTAAAATTTAATCAAGTTTGCGAGTTACAAGAAAAATTTAAGTCACCATTTCATTGATTGTCAATTCATTTCGTTTTTATTTCAATGTCACCACGCCATAGTAGGATCCTACTGAAGTTAGAATTTTTTCGATACTTCAGATTTCGGCGATTTACTAGTGTCGGCCCCCGTTTTTTTATCGATATGCTATTTTTCAATAAGTGGCTCATACCGTAGACGGATATTTTATCAGACAGCCGTGTATGTGTAAAAACTCGTGTCGCCATAACTGAGATTTAGGTGCGACTTTGGAATTTGTTTCGTCTAAAAAAACATACCTACTCAAATATTCTACTTTTTTATTCACACTTTTATTGATAACATTTTTATTTTTAGTACCGAGTGATCTGAAACTTGTACCATGAATTTTTTATAACTATTATAACAACCTTAATATACGACAGACTTTATTTTTTTCCGCAGCATCTGTGTTCTTAAACTGTTTGCTATTGTTTTGATTTGTGACATTCTCACAAGATGTGTCATGTGTGGCATTCTCACAGATGTGTCACATTTTCTCAAGATGTGTCAAAGATGTTGTCATGTGTGGACAGATATTTATCTATTTATTTGTAAAAATACATTATTTATTTAATAGAACTGGTGACTGTTGATAATTCGAGTGTAAAAGGAAAATTAGAACTCATTATAACTACTGCTATGTTTGAAGCAAATCTCAGCTATCATCTTTGAAATATTTCCAATCGTTACGTAACTTTTTTCTTTCCAGCATGATTTTTACGAATTGTATAGTCATTCCTAGATGATATATAAAATATTGAGTAAAATTTCATATATTGCCTTGGCTTACAGTGATGCAATTTTAACTTATCTGTGGCGATGTACGCTATGCTCTTCTTATGTAGCTGAACAATTCGCTAACGGCACACTTCCAATGCATATACGGGAAAATCGTATCGATCAATTTTGGGTGTAGTGTTCGGGTATACAGTGAGAATGTGAAATATTTAGCGTTAGAGCCTCCCAACCAATGAGGAAGATGACTGCAGCATGCGATACATATGATCTTGATAAGTTTGATCTTCAAATTTTTTATTAGTTGTTGTTACCTAATAGGCCAAACCAAGGAAAATTAAATTTTAGTTAACATGAAAGTACTGCCGCATGCATAAAAACATGGAAAAAGGGAAAGATAGTCCATAATTTAAATATTCCCTCGACATTTCCAACAACCACACCCATGCATCATTACCCAATTCCTTATATATGTGGGTGTTCTCATCAGTTTGTGTTTACCGTGCTGTTGCCAAATTAACCGGAGAGGAAAATAAATATTGTAATTTACATATACATGTATAAATTTAACAGTGTTTAAATTTCAGTCTGAACTTGAGCCTCACCCTGAGTAGATCGATGAGGCCTAGGAAGGCGAGCAATCCTAGTGCGCTGTTGCAGTCAAGAGTTTGGCTGAACAGAAAATATATCCTTTGAACTATTTTACGTGATGCCAATTCTTTAATTGTTGATCAAATTAAGAATTAAGGCTTTAGTTTTTCAAGCGTATGCATGATGACAGGAAATACTTAGTCGTTCAACTTTTCAAACTCTTCAAAAAAACCCTCGTGAATATTTTAAGTATAAGGAAACAGGTTGAGAATTTTGGCGCTAATTTCATCAAGTATGTACTCAAGCCTGAAAAAATTTGCATGCAAAACTTACCAGTTCAGCATTTCAGGAAATGAAGCCTCTCTTTACAAAAACTCAATTAGTCGCATGAAACCAATATTTTTTAATTCCTATTATAAGCGAAGAAAAATATGTCTTTGTATTTTTTATGAAAAATGATTCGTGATGTTTATTCCAGTTACAGATTTTGCATCTTCATTCATGAATATTTAAATATTTAATTATTGCGTTCCCCTATCCTTAATATGCAAAAAGTGCCATCATTATGCAATTTGAAATGAAAATATGCTAAATTATTGTCATATTTAATATGCTAGAGGTAAAGCAAAATCTATTGATGTGCTGAAAATAACCGCTCTTCTTTAAAAAATGTAGAGGTTCAATGAAAAATGACCTAGTACGATATCATGTAAGCATCAGAGCAATTGCATGACGCTAAATATATAATCAAATAAGAATACTAACGTACTCACACGTATCCATATCCTGAAGCCGATGCCTGCAAATCTGAAAAAAGTGTGACAACAACCATAATAAAACTTTTAAGAAAAGTGTGAATTACATTAGAATCAGTCGGCATGATATGAATTGAAAATTTCAATTAAAACATAGACTTCTTTAAAAAATTCCAAAGAAACGAATAAACTGCATAAGTAATTGATGTAATAGATGGCAGTATAAAAGTATGGGCCATGGAGCGTCCATTGAAACAAAGAAACGGTTGTTTGGCTCACCTGTCATCGCTGAAAGTTTGGTGGATATGAAATGTTCCACGTTAAATTTCACTCGACAGCAAGCAACTTGAAACGAATTTAAATTAGTTCGAGCAAATTATTGCTAAATATATGTATGACAGCTTATGCTATTCTAAAGGTGTTTGATCTGGCAAAATTTGCACAGAGTCTAGCCAAAGACCGGAAATTCTTACAAACGACGGAAAAAGAACCTCCTGTGACGCCCGTTCCAGGTCTTGTGAAGAACGTTACGGACGCTGCCGGAGCGTCAGAACGTGAACGACTGAGCACCACAGCAAACAGATGGCGGCTTCCACGCGTCATTGAGCATAGCGAGCGCATGGATCAGAGGATGACGTATATCGCATGCATCATGGGCTGATGGTAGCCTGTCTATAATCTGATGGTGATGACCTACATCATGTCTCACATCATGACCTACAGCTTGTTACCTATAATGACCTACATCATGTTATATATCATGACCTACATCATTTTACATGTATAACCTGCATAGTTCGGTGGCGGTAGTCCAACTGAAACTAGACATTCCTGAATTGTAATAAAATCATATATATGACAACGTTCCCTTACAACACAATGGGATATCATTGGACTCTGTAAATGATGCTCTGATAGTGGCCTTCAACTTGAGAAGATGGGTCAAACATGTGTTGTCTAACGTTTAGTGCATGGTAAGAATAAATCCTTATGCATCATGCATTTGCTTAAATCGTCAACAATTAAATTTAGAAACAATTAAAATGCAAGAAAAAATCAACTCATGTAACTGGATGTACAGTATTTTCGGTGAGATACATTCATGTTAATTTATAAATTTCTTCGCTTCTATGATCCTGGAGATGAATTGTGGGTTAGAATAAAGTGATTGGGTTAACATGTGATGATGATGGCGTACTCTGCAACATGTGGCAATGACGTCGTGGTCCGCAACTTATGTTAATAACGGCGTGGTATGCAACATGTGACAATGCCGGCATAGTATGCAATATCTTTTAATAACGGCGTGGCATGCATCATCAGATAATGACGTCGTGGTATGTTGGACTTTATACAAAAGCAAGAAACAAATTGAACTTTTATTTTTTGAACTTGATCCCAAGGACGATCGGTACAAAGCTTGAGGGAGCCGGGGCCCAAAGATATTAGGAATGAGACCAGGTTCCTGAATAAGAGCTTGGAAGCGGTATTATTAGCGGTTCGCCGACCTTAAAGACGAATGAACCCGGTCCAACATAGCTGTCGAGAAATTACAAAAGACTTGGTAAAAACAAGTTTAAAATGCACAATAAGGTATAGCAAAAATATTCAATATTTCAGCAGTCATGAATGAATGCAATCATATGAAGCAGTGAATTTACGCACTCTTCACAATAAGGAGCATCTCAGAATTGCACATCTGTAGTCGCAGAAAGCCCCCCCAAAATTGACCAAAGTACGTGACGATACAGATTGGCAGGAATATGTCCAATGCTTTTCGGTATAGCGCAATGTAATGATTTAGTATCTAATTAACAACTGGGTCCAATAAGTTCTTAATTGTCGGATCATACATACAATAGAAGGTGAATGATGAATCTTTTAATTCACGTAATACTTATTTAGGGTTAGATACAGTGAGGTTTATACAGATACAGCGGAGTTAGTGCAGATAATAATATCGACACTATTGCGAAAGGGCGATGCCCAAGATTTGATCTATGTCGGCCCTCTACTAATTAAAGAAAAGCGAACATGCACTTACGGAAAAATAAATAAAAGGAAAATGAAAGAGTGATCAATCAAGATATAAAATAGTAATTAGTGTAGTTTGGCAGAAGCTGTTCTTTAATGCAGGTTTCGTTGAAGACCAGAGAGTATTTCTTATTGACAATTTTCTTATTATTTTTCTCGATTCGGCGAATTAGGCTCTTGATAGGAAGTGAAAATCCAAATATCAGGTTTCCAAGGGACATTTTATTATAATTTTACGACGTTTCGAATGCATGATTTCAAATGCAAAAATCAAATAAATCGAAAAAATAAAAAAAATCATGATTTTTTTATAAAAAAATCATGCCAACCCTGTTTGGAACCATGAAAATAATTCCAAAACAATCTCAAAGCTTAAAAAATCAGGTAGTTATGAGATGGATAGATGGAGTCCAATCCGCAGAAAAGGGCTTCAGCTATCGACGGTCGGATTATGTCGGGCCACCGCAAGATGACGAAGCTGGTGGGTTCCTCTAGCGCAGTGCAAGTGACAGTCTCGTTGAGATTGACGTTGTCGAGAGTGTCACGGGGCCAATTGATTTCATCGCGGATCTTGAGATGAAGTTGCTTGATTGTGATGCATTGAGACATGGTCTGGTTGCGAGCTTGTCTCAGATGGCAGGATAAACGGCTGCTCAAAGTCGAAGTAGTTACCCCAATTACTCCAATGCAATCAAAATTTGCATTCGAAACGTCGTAAAATTATAATAAAATGTCCCTTGGAAACCTGATATTTGGATTTTCACTTCCTATCAAGAGCCTAATTCGCCGAATCGAGAAAAATAATAAGAAAATTGTCAATAAGAAATACTCTCTGGTCTTCAACGAAACCTGCAAAATAGTAATTATGAAGGATGGCTCGAAACACTCCTATAACCGAAGCAACATAGATTAGACGCTTGTACCTCTGAGTCTTACTGCCCGCTCCACTATTTACAAACCCATTCCTGACAATGGCTATGGAGAAAAAGAAAAGATTTAGAACCGAAGGAATGTGGAAATTTTCAACAGGCATGCAACATATGATAATAACAGCGGGCTATGCCACATGTGATAATAACATCGTAGTATGCAATAAGCGATAACAACGGCGTTTAATGCCACATGTGATAATAACATCGTGGTATGCAATAAGTGATAACAACGGCGTTTAATGCAACATGTGATAATAACATTAACGGCGTTTAATGCCACATGTGATAATAACATCGTGGTATGCAATAAGTGATAACAACGGCGTTTAATGCCACATGCGATAATAACATCATGGTGTGCAATAAGTGATAACAACGGCGTTAAATGTCACATGTGATAATAACATCGTAGTATGCAATAAGTGATAACAACGGCGTTTAATGCCACATGCGATAATAACATCATGGTATGCAATAAATGATAACAACGGCGTTTAATGCCACATGTGATAATACCATCGTGGTATGCAATAAGTGATAACAGCGGCGTTTAATGCCACATGTGATAATGACGTCGTGGTATGCAACATATGATAGAAACTGTTTGGTATGCAACAAGTGATAGCAACGGCGTTCTGTGAAACGTGTGAAAATAACGGCGTGGTATGCAACATGTGATAATAACGGCGATTTATGCAACATGTGATAATAGCGGCGTTTTAATCAGCATGTGATACTGACGGGGTGGTATGCAACATATGATAATAACTGCGCTTTATGAAACATGAGATAAACACGGCGTGGTCTGCAACATGTGATAAACACGGCGTGGTCGGCAACTTGTGATAATGACGGCGTGGTGTGCAACATGTAATAATAATGGCATGGTATGCAACAAGTGATTACAACGGCGTGGTCTGCATCATATGATTATATGGAAGTGACTAGGATCATGCGAGTATGAAATTATGACGGTGAGGTGAAGTTCGTTACTATCACAGAAATAATATAACAATTTAAGCAAATACTTTTATCGTGTTTGAACATAAGTCTAACACACAGTTTTCGTGTGTTTTTGAAGCACCGTATATGAGCGCTAATCTCTCATATTCACTAGATGGATTAAGTGGAGCCTGCGTGGATGCATGGTGTGTGATGGCATGCATGAACACAGCATACAAATTTCAACACACAAGACAAATAAAGTAACATTATTTGTTAAAATCTCAGAGCATGCTTATTCAGGTAGAATCAGATGCTGATGCGGGGTGCGAAATATTCGTATCGCAGTCGAGCGCTCAGTGCCGCCCAGAGATGAGGCAGAAGCTCCTTCTGTGCTTCAGTCAATTCAAGACGGAAATGAAAATTTGTAATTTCATTAATCATTTTGGCTGATCAACCACTACTTAAGCGGAAAGAAAATTTTATGACCCAAAAAAGGATGAAACCCAAAGTCGTGCATAAAAACAATTGATACTCGTGCGTAGAATACAATTACTCACAATTAAAGATTTGGTTCCATAAATTCGCTAACACCGAAAAAATAAATTCTAGTTTGGCTCGTACGCATTCTTGTTCAGCAGAAGCCCTAATTAAAAGCGACTTTAGATCAGATTCATGAATCAAGTTTGTGGTGGAAAAGTTTATAATATTTTTAGAGGAATTATTGTTCTGTAGGAAATTTAATCTTTTCTTTGGCCAAATCACCCCACCGGCGCCATGGATAGAATTGCCCTTGAATCAAGATCTTCAAGCTACGCGTACAACCAGTGAGATTTACTATTATCTGTGTTAAACTTTGCACAATTAAATATGAAGTAGATGTAGTGCAAATACGATAACAGATGAATATTGTAATATTAATTGAAAAACAGATGCTTAAAAGTTTCGCACGTTGCTGCAATATAAATGAGGCATTTGTAATTATCGGTTTATTTTGCTGAACATAAGGATGCTGGATTTTTCAACATAGGCTAAACAGAAATTTCTTTCCTCATTCTTAGTTCCCTTGAATTTACTCATAATTTTATCCTTATAACATAACAAAATTTTACTCATATTGAACGAATTATTTTGTTTCAAAATCTTCCCATTCAGCAGGTTTGATTGCACCACAGCTCTTGCGCTCTTCGGTATGCTGGGACTCATTGAACTCTTGAGGGTGAGTGGTGAGCTTCAATTAACTTGCTTCTTGTTTTATGCAAAATTCACACAAAAATTGTGATAAAATAAAAATGCATTCCATTTATTATTGCGTTATAGGATATGATTTATAAGCGAATTCTAAACATTATATTACTAAAAATGCAAATTAATCATCTGAATTTTATTTTATTCAACCTCAAAATGTGGAAAGTAAATTTCTACCGCCGCGCTTTGATAAGTCTGATCACATCGCTTGGTAGTAATAGTAGGAACGATTCGATTTGCATTGCAGTTAGCGAGTTAATGTCCGATATTTAAAAATTACGCATCGTTATTGAAATATGAACAGCTCTGTTCTTATTCAAATATAATAGAAATAGAAAAACACGATATAAAACATTTCCACGAAACGCATGATAACTGAAAACATGCTAATACACAAATTTTATTCTATTTATTTATCAAACACCTTTAATTCCTACGCTTACATATACAAATAGAATCAAGACCCAAAAACGACCTACAGTGTCTAAATTGTCTTGTTTGTCATTTATTGTGAGCTCTGATTCAGGAATTTTTCTATACGCAAAATGACCTTTAAATATTGATCAAATAAGTGATCGATACATATAGATGATTTATTGTAAACATAACGCTGAATGACACAGAAATTCAAATACATACACCAAAGGAATAGCATAAAACTTGAGATCACAAATTTGATTGAATTGAAAGACTTGTTTAACTGAAATAATAATTAAACGATTTGCATGTCAAAACATTAACCAGACGACACCTGATGACATTCTATTAATAATAATTAAATGACTGATCAAAGCATTAACCAGACGTCGCCTGATCTCGCATAGGACATAATAGCGAACGTGAGTGGCAGCTCCACGGCAGCGCCTGCCACCGGCCGCAGGGGGAGGCGCTCCCTGAGGGCACCTGATGCGTCGCCCCTGCAGGAGGCGCTGCTGGCGGTCACGCCGCTGCTGGTGCGTGCCTACGTGGCTGAAATTAAAGCCGTTAACACCTATTTACTTTACAGTAAAACTAAGATGAGTCATCCGGCTCATCCTGCGTCGAGCCTTGCTAGAAAATGGTAAATGTTGAGGCTGGTAGTTGAGTTATGTCATGAATTTGGCCTAATTTTCTAGTTTTGTTTTAGTTCTACTTTTTTATTGATGGGAGACCATCAATATATAACAGAAAAATATCACTGCTCACTGTTTACCCGATAATTCTAAGAAGAAAATTTGATGTTCGATGGTTTCGTTGCTCATGTATTGTTGTCAAATATTAACTTTAAGTTGTATTTAATCACGTGCTTGTGTCACGCACATGAATGACGCAGACAGAGATGTACGTGACAGTCGTGCCTATGCTCAGTGGTTGCACTCTCATATCACCGTGTGTCTCACACGGCAGGACGCAGTGATGGAGGTGCACGACGGTGAGGTCGAGACGTCGTGTCTGCCACAGGTCGCATGCCGCACCGCACGGCAGCTCGCCGGCTCCGGCGACGTCACTGCCAATATCCTAGCCAAACTGTCTGTTCAGGTCTTAAACTAATAATAATAATAATAATGATAATAATAATGATAATAATAATGATAATAATAATGATAATAATAATAATTAATAATGATTATAATAATAATATAATAATAAAATTATTTGTTCATTCGTACAAACATTCTTAGATTTTATTGACATTTTTCTTTTCTTTTGCGATTATATCCTTCTCAAATGCATGGTTCAATCTGGTAAATTTCCAATATAGCTTCTTACATAATGTAAAAAATACAAAAATTATCTAAACTAATTTCAAAATCATTACTAAGAAGTTCAACCAGCTTCTCATAATGCGCCATAAAAAAATTCAATGGTCATTTTAGTATTCAAAAGTGACTATTAGAACTGTAACATATGTCTCCACGCATTTTGAAGTTGTACTTACAAGCTGATGAAAGTTATGCTGATAACAGAGTGATATGATATGTAATGAAATGACTTGTTATGAAATTATATGTTATGAAATGAAATGTTGGGAAATTTTATGTTATGAAATGATATGCTACGAAAATATATGTTATGAAATGGTATGTTATGAAATGATGTGTTACGAAATGATATATTATGAACTGATATGTTATGAAATGATCTGTCATGAAATGATATGTTATGTAGTGATATGTTATGAAATGATATGTTTTGAAATGACATGTCATGAAATGATATGTTTTGAAATGATATGTTCAAAAGAATGCCCACCATCAGGTCGTCGGTGCTGCCGTGCTGCGCGACGCTCCGTCGCTGCTGCAGGCGACGCAGGAGGCAGCAGACGCCGGACGGCACGGCGCGTCCTGCGAGCTCCTCTACAGGCGGTGCCCCGAGACTTGAAACTTTTGGATGCTTGGACGGCAACTCATTAAGTGCTTTTAAGATATTAAAGGATATTCTCATCAAGATATAGTTGGTACGTCGGGTCTTTTCCAAGATTGGGATTTTCTTCAAGTCTTCATGCAAATACTGTGTGAACTAAAAAAAATTATTTAATCGAGAAATTTTCAGCATCGCTAGGTGATTGTACACTCTGAGACGACCAAGAATTTGAATTTATTGCCTGACTGTCTATTATAAGATTATTAAAATACGGTTGGTAATGAAAATTGCGATAAAATCCTCAAGCTCAAAAGATTGCTTAACGACTCATCTGCACATTGTTAAAAGGCCATCGTATTGTAAAGGGCTTCTTATTATTATTTATATACATTTATTACATCACAATTAGGCTTTAATTGTGCAGAGCGGCTCTGTATTTGGTATAGAGTAATTAATGTATTTGGTACAAAGTTATTAAAGAATTATGAAAGTGATAGCAATTCACAATCGAAATCGCAAATTCACATGAAATTTTAGCAAGAACGAGGAAGTCTGGACTATGGTTTGCTCAGTCGATAAATTGCTAAAGAAACATTAGTTTTAATCCAATTAATTGAAAATTAATAGTAAGATGATCAGAGAGCAGAAGAAACGCTGAGTAGCTAAATGATTTGCACAAAATAAAGTTTTAATCAAAAAATTATGTAAATCAGTTTTCTGTTGACAGAAAAATTTATCCAATATTACTTTCCAAAAATACTTTTAAAAAATCATGAATTATACTTGGTTCCCTAAATTATAATTCTATGCAGCTAATGATGTTCTAGGATAAATTTATTGAAAGTACAAAAATTGAAGTAGAGATTTGATTGTAAACTTTTCTCAAATAAATAATTTCTAAAAAGGTTACAATATTATTTTCAAACTCCTTTAAAAATTGTCATCAACAGCTATAAATGATTAAAATGAGATAACAATTGAACTCTACATAAGGCAGTTCATAATTAAATGATTAAGCGTGATATGCACATTGCAAACGTCACGAGATTGATCTCAATTCAGAAGAAAATCAAAATCATTAATAAGAAATTTTATCGTGGTGCTGACTGCTTAGTAATAATTTTTATTTGATGCATGTTATCAGGAATTGTCATATTTGAATACATATAATGTTCATATTGACATACAGATGGGACACAAGCGTGTTAAGAAGCACATCTATATCCTGATGAGGTCAGCAACACAAAAAGACGTCTGAAAAAGGTTTAAGGGGTAAAAAAGTATAAGGTGTCAAAGTAAAAATAAATCCCAAGCTTGTTGCCACTTAACTGCATTCCCCGACACTTTCTATTCATCTTTATTCCCTTCGTCATGACTTGAATTGCAAGCTGCTTTTATCAAGAATTTTAAAGGAAAACTGCATCTCGTGTAGACTTACAAATAAGATGTTCGTCCGTTATTGAGTCCGTACTGATTTCTGCCATGAACCGCTACCAGAAGCGATCGAGTGCGTCAGTTTAAAGACGTAACAAGATTTTTAACGATGGATTAATGACTAATTTCGCTCAAGAGCGATGTAGTCGCCGCCTCGGGCTAAGCAACATCAGTTTTATTTCTTGGGAGCTCAAGATAAGACAAGTAGCTGAGGCATTTCCTTGTGGTAACTAGATTTCCATCTGTAGATATTCGTGAAAGAAAATGAGCTTAATTTGTTTGCACAGGATGTTTTATCTTTCATAACCTAACGTCAAAACCCATCGTTTTCACATTCGTGGACCAGCTGATCAGAAGCTTAACTCCCGATTAATGAATAAATGTGGTCGTGTTGAATATTTGATCATTAACAGTTTGACAAAATTTTTACGCTAAATATAGTTCAGCAATTTTAATACTGCTATGAGATAAAGGCAGTCAAAAGGGTATTAATTTTATTACATATGCAATCGAATTAATATAGTCTTAAGGTTCAACTAATTTGTTTTCCAATAAATTTACTCATCCCGTGCCGTGTAATCTCTCATTTCATTTAGGGCAACCAAAAATTGCGAAGAAAATCTCAATGTCGACTTGAAATCGCAATTATTTTGTATTGTTCCGTTTGTTCAATTGCCGAAGTTTGGCACGTGACATTTGGCAGAGAGCCACGGAGAAAAAAATCATATAATAAGAACGAAAACAAATGAAAAATTTTAACTGCTTACGCAGGCAACGGTCTTTAACTGATTCTATTAGGTAAGGCAACTCGCAAACATTTCTGATCACGAACAGAGGCGTGCCAGCATAGAAAATTCTGAATTACTGGAGTGTAAAGTGCTCAATAAATTTAGCTGTTGTTTTAAGCCCGTTACAAGAGTTGATAGATTTAAATGGTCCGTGATTAGACTAAGCACATAGCCTATCTGTGCGGAACGAAAATAGAACACGAACATTATTGAAAAAAGCATCTATCGACAGAAATATTATAAGATCCGGTAAATATTGAGTTAAATAGTTACGTTAAGTGATTCATCTATGTTGATAGTCAACTTACGCGGTTATTTGCTTTGTTAACCGCGGCATCAATGTAATAAGTCTTGCTACTAAACCAATCATTACTGTGCATCCTAATTCAAGTCCCGACAGAGAACAGCATTGATCTAGAGTATTGTAGTCTCAAAATGAATATTTAAACATGGCTCATAGCGGGAATAAAAGTCAACAATTGGTCGTCGGGCGAGCGTTCGTACAGTCCTCGGTTGCATGGTCGGTCAGTTGCATGGCGCTTGTGTTAAAGAGAACAAAACCCGCGCTTCTGCTCTCTAGGTGATATCGCCGAATGATATTGTACCTGCTATCTTATGTCAGTTAATAAATGTTTTTGTCCAGTTAAGACCAGAGATTGAAATGGAACTGGATGCTCGAAGTTACGGTTATAACGGGTGAGTTTGATTGGTGTCGAGAGAGATGTTTAGTTTCAATGAAATAATTACGTTTAACATAAGTTAATTAGAATTTTTTACCACATATTTTTCTAAACGATTGCTGAGTTTAGTAACTAATATCTTTTCCAGTACCTGATTATGATAATAGTGATCATGATGATTATGGTTTCAATAATCTCACATTGAATAAAGTTATACTTCTACACTACTTGCAATTGCAACCAATTTTTTACTTAATTTTAATTAGGCCGTTACTTGTGGGATGAGTTGCAACACAATATCATTCAAGCTACCAAATTGCGTTGATGATAATTGTTCGTTGCTAATGCTAATTTCTGTAATAACGTTTGGCATTTAAAAAACGGTTTCATTATTGGATCAATGTGTTGCTTTAATTTGTTAGCTTAAGCTCTCGTTTTTTTCAATCCACAAGCAGAAGTGTATTTTTTATTTGCTAGGATAAAATTTATAATCTTTTGCAGAAAGACGGTTGATTGCAATTCAGCTTAATTTGGCCTTATTCGGATTGTTGTTGTTCATCAATATTCTCAGGGTGAGGAGACGACGCAGGGCGGAAAGATCTGGGTTTTCCAGCCATGCACGATTGAAATACAAACATCTCATATTGCTAATTTACTGTCATAAATTTTAATTCACTCGTAAATGCTAATGTACTTATACGAGACATATTTAATTTTAATTAAAAAACATTTACACTTGATTAGCCTTATTTTTAAATGGATTCAATGAAATAATTTGTTTCTTCTTAAATAATATGAGCTGGCAACCAGCTAGTTTAATACACTGGACATGCAATTCATTATCACCATCATTGCTCTGCAGGACTCAATTGACGACCTCTCCACGACGACCCCCGAGGTCGGGAGGAGGAGGAGGAGGCAGGCGTCGTCGGAGGAGACGTTCTCTCCTGCAGGAGAAGGCGGCCTGACGTTCCTGACGCAGGACTTGCTGCACAAACTTCCTCAAATCCTGGTAATCAGTAGAGGAAGGAAAATTACTGTCTTCCTATGAACAAACTCTACTTTAGAAGAATGAGGATGGTACCGTCTTTTCATCAGTCAAAATTAATTCACCCATTACTCCTGGGTGAAGAGAATAATCCCAATTCTTCACCGTTTAGAACATTTTTGTGTGTTGAAAAGTATAATGGGAGCGTCTGCATGCTGAGTTTTGAATCTTGGGTTTACTGAAGTCAGCTACAGCACTTGTATGTGACAGTATATTGTTTGGTTTTTATTTGTTATTTATTTGCTTGTGTTCGAGGCTTTTCCCTTAATTGTTTGGTTCTGTGTTCAAAATGTATTTAATTTCATGGCTAAATTCGCGGAATTTCACTTCAGCAGTCAAATCTGGAAAACATGCTCCACAAATGTGCACATCCAACGCATCCTTTATGGAATATTAATCCATTCGCGATCACAACGATCCAATATCCTGGACTATCGAAAATCTTTGTTTTTAATCAATTTTTTATTTGCACGATTCACATCTTTTTCTTCTCGTTATTACACTTGCTGAGCGGCGCTAAAAAGAGATAAGCCTTGTCTTGTTAGACTAAGATTTAGAGAAGAACAGTTGTCGTACAAACATTGTATTCCTTTTTGTATTTATGTGCTTTATTTTACGTTAGGACGCGTCGGCAGCGCCGGGGTGTGCCGAGCGCCTGACTTGCGACGTCAACTCGGCGCTCGTCAGGGGCGGGCAGCGGCACGGCCGCCTCGTGGCCGCTCTCACCACGTCAGCGCTGCATTTAAATTAAACTGCCACTATGCAACAGTTTAATAAATAATTGTGTGGCAATCATATGTTGACATTGAACGTGTAAAATATTTTACATTTGCACTAATACTCAAAGTTGGTTGAAGAATTGCACTAAATTATTATGAACTCTGTAGTTTATTAGTGTATTCGTATATATTAGTTTTTAGTATATTTAAAATTCAGTACATTATTTTTATTTCTATTCTTAGTTCAATTCGTTTCATTTAGCTTATTTGATGACATCAAGCATATGGTGTATCAAAGAATAATTTCAGCCTTCTTGTCATTCTTGAATCATTATGTTGTTGCGCATCAATGAACCAAAACTAATCGTAAAGCAAGAGAACGATCTTTAAGACCCCAACACTTTGAGAAATAAGTGACTTCATCCGAATAGCGATGCAATTTTTCCCACGTATCATCACCCAGTTTAACGTACCAGCGACACGTAAAAATAGCTTCTCAGTGTACGTAAGCCCTCTGCTCATGCCCTGGGTAAAAAGTGTATCACTATTTAGACTATATGACCCGTTTATTTTTCTGATTGCACTGTGAACATGGCAGGAATGTGCTGAGTGACGCGCTCAGCGCAGGCGCTGGCGTCGAGGCCGCGGCGCTGCAGCGCGCCGGCAGAGAGGGTCGCCTCGGCGCCGACTGCAGCCTCGTGTATCCCTCGTGCCAGCACGAGGAAATTCACTCTCTTTTTTCTCATTCATGATCTTCGAATTTAATAAAATCGAAAAAATGTACATAGAGCAGATTTTAGGTGAATTTGGCCTGTTGTTATGAAAAACGGCGAGTAATCTCGGTTCGATGGGAATGTTTTGATACTGGAGAACATTACATAGGTGTTCGCAATGTCGGTGCATGCTAAAAACAGGTTACATTAAACAGAAGCAAAGGTCCAGTAAATCGTATAGTTTGATCGACAGTTTACGGCGTAAGGACTGAGATTAACTCCTTTTTAGGTTAAGACTTTGAAGGCTTCAGACCCAGACCGTAATGCGTATGTTGGTAACCATTGCACTAAAACCTAATTTTGTAAATTCGATCAAAAACATAGCCGCAACTCCAACTTACCTCAATTTATTGTACTATATTTTTATTTTATGCCTTGTATAAATTCTATGGGTCACTTATCAAACGAATTCATTAATTCATAAATAATAAAAAATGATACTCGAATATAAGTACGTGGTCTGATTAAATTGCAGATGGCTGTTTATTCACAGTTTTTTGCCTTCTCATTGCGTAGGTTTTAATCAATTTCGTGCATATTTTGATTTTCGCGACTGATTTCATTTGTATTCTATACATTTTTTCAACTGATAATGGAGCTGCTACTTGAAGTTTTCCTTACCTCTAAATTTTTGGTGTAGTCGAAATTTTATGAAGGCTATGTCAGGATTTGCGTTGCATTTCAAATTATACTTTGTTTAAGGAAGATAATTTTCGTTATGATTCAGCAAAGACCATTTATTGGTTCTCTTTATAATGATAATAAAATAATAGGTTTTGATTCTGATGGTAGAAATTTAAAACATATTTTGGCAACTTTAATTTCAGGTAATTGTAAAAATACTTAAAAATATATTCAATTTTATCGGTTCTTAAAATCATTCGTGAATGTTAGGTAAAACAAGCCATTTCTAAATGACTAGGCAACAAAGAACGAATTTTATAAATAACAAAAGTCAGTTTATTTAATTAATTTTTTATATGAAATGGATTCTTGCATTGAGGGTGTTATGTTTTTTACAATAACTCAAATTATGCGATTCAAAAGTTGTTATCCAATGTTTGCCACTGACTCATCCGCAAAATTATTCCTGAAATTAAGCTAACTGCATTCATTTAATAGTTGAGTCGAAGCCTATGCACTGATTCATAAAAAAAATCTGTAAATGTCCATACTCAACGACCATAATAAATTTTTTGTGGTGAACAGATGCTGATGCAGCATAAAAATCTGAGACAGTGTACCTTGCAAAAACATGCATTTTTCACATTGACGACCGCTGACATTTAAAAATAAAAACTAAATGGAATCAAACTGTCGCTCGCAACAATGATGCTTATAGCAGCAATCGAAGCATTTCACTTGATACAAAAGGCTGAAGAGGTCGCCGCGATGTATTGGAAGCTGTTTGGCGGTTTAGAATGAAAATGTTAATTTCAGCAATACATTTTTTTCGTAAATGAAGAAAATGATTAATTCGTAGTCCTTGCTGTCTCCTAATATCATCATCATGCAATTACATGCGGCCTTTTAAAAAAGTACCGGCTCACTAAATTTTAATCCGTGTGAGAATAATCGAGATTCGCAGAGTGGAAAATCAAAGCCAGCCAGCGACGCCAATCGCAGTCGCTAAACGTAGTTTGGTTGAGAGATAGATCGGTAGAAAGGAATTTTTGGCCTCTTGACATAATTGTCTCTGTAGTAAAATTGAGCCACGAAAACCTGGTAATAACTGCGGTAGTCGTGCTTTTACTGAGAGGTATTCGACCTCAAACTTAAACTTTCCAAGCCCTTAGCGTTAGTATTCACTAATGTTGAGCGAGGGGAGTGTGGCGGTTTCCATAAGCCCACGTTACTGTCTTCACAATAGAAAGACTTAAGAACGTAAATTGTGACGCATTACCTTGTGACACGTTACCTGCCTAGTTAGTCATGTCCAGAAACTTAGCCTTGTATGTCACCTTCAAGTCTTCAAAAACCATGTAAGTCTGAATCTGGAAGGTCATCCTGTTGATAGAATTGTCTAACTATGAAATTTTAATATAAAATATGTTTACATGTATATATAAAAATTATTTTTTTGCGTTGTACGCTCACGCTTGCGTTTTCATTGTTCCAGTTTACAAGTTGAAGTAAAGGGAAGAACTTCAGATGTTCATTTATCAAACTTCGTTAACTGCCCAAAAGAGCGTGAGCAATGATCGGCTCGCACAGAAAAAGATGAATAATATTTTTTTTAGTTTCATAAGGTTTACTGCTGTTATACACAAAGGTATATAAATACATAATAAAAATAGAAAGTAAAAATATCATAATTGAATCATTACCATTGTTCAAAATGCTAATTGTTGTGAGGAAAGAAACCATTTGTAATAATACACAAGTAAAAAATAAATATATAAAGCCAATATAAACATACGGATACCAATAGGCAATATGTGATTATGACAATTACATAGAATACAAGAAACAAATTTTATAATTTATGGTCCCTAAAATGTCTCTGTGCCAAATTTCACGACATCTTTCCTGCTGGCAGGTCCACGAATAGGAGTTTTCATGTATTTGCAACTACCGGCGCATGCCGAGGCGTACTGCCGGGATGAACGGATACTATCTGATTATTATTATCAGATATATAACAGATCAGATAAATTGGATCTGATTATTATTATCAGATCCAATACGGATATTATCCAATCCGATTTTTCTTTGGAAAATGACATTTTCATATATATGGGCACGGCAGGAATAAAACAGCAATGGTGAATGTGAATCAAAATAAATAAATTTGTTCCTACATATCTATTATGCAAGTAACGCGGCAGCTGCAGCTCAGGATCAACTGCTAGTCAGCATCATCGTCAGCCTCATCGCCAGCTTCATCGTCAGTATCAGGAGCAGTTACAGCCCAGAGACCATCATGATCATCATCATCATCATCAGCAGCAGCAGCAGCGGTTTGAAAAGAATACGGAGGCGCAGCTGGAGCTGCTATTGGCACACATGTTCACGCAGGTGTTGTGGGGTCAGTTGCAGGTCAGACGTCCGTGTGACCGGGTCGGGTGACGTACTTTGTGTTCACCACGTCTCCGTGTGCGATTACTTTGTTGCCAGCGTCTACAGTGGAGATCATGCAGTGATTTAATAGAACTTTGCACTGTGGGTGTCAGTGATCTCAGCACTAGGAAAAATAAAGTGCAACAACTTTTCATTTGCATGTTAGCAATATACGATAATTCAATTAAACATTAAATTATTTTTCAATCTTTCTGAAAATCCAATGAAAGACTAAATGATTGTTTTACAGAAGAGGCCAAAAAATGATCTAGTATTGGCAAGAATGAATTAAAATAATGATTGGAATTTCTAGTACGGATAAAGTTGTGCAATTTCCCTGCATCTATTTGCATGACATAAAAATCAAACTCATATTTATACACGATTTTTTATAGGTGGAGAATTCGCTGTCTTTGAGTTTTCCGGTTCCAAAACGCCACAATTGTTTTTGTGGGAAATGTTACAGGAAATTCCTGAAAATATCTTGTGTCTGAACATTCAAAATAATTTTATCCTAGAATTCTTAAATATTTTCCTCTCAACTACTTCAGATGAAAATGTACGGAAATGTAATTTTAATTTATAAAAATTCAATTATCTAAAGAGTACGATGAACCAGATTGGAAACTCTACGGTACACGATACGAAAATTGCGATAACTGAAACAGTAATTTTTAAATTCAGTCTGATTCTGATTGATGTTACATTGAGTCAATATGTTCGACTGCTGTTTTAAATTGTGAGCATCGGGCCATCAATACGATATAGGGACAAATTTCTTCGAAATTTAAAGGAAAAGTATTAATGATTTGGATAAACAAATTTTCATTGCATATGCAACAAAATTTTCTGTCTTAATGAGCTTTGTTGATATTGTATCGCTCACAAAATTATTTATGATGGTTAAGATCTTGAATACTGAACAAAAAACTCTATAAATACGCGGCAACTATAGAATTCAACTAAATTTTTTTGATACTGTGCCAAATCCCCCCAAAAAATGTAGTGGAAGGTGAGCAACGTTGCTTATGTAATTAATTAATTTACGAAGTTTACATTTAATTCGTGTCTTTGGTATTGGATTTGAATGCTTATTTATAACACTTTATTCACTAGCGATTCCAAACAAAAACGTCAGTGCCAGCTGCAAACGCAGTGACCTCACGATGCTGAGCAATATATCTTTTCTAGCAGATCCAGGAGCTGGCGCTGTATAGCACAGCAGCTTATATTGCTATATTTTTATTACGTGTCCACCATATATGGCTTTTTATTTACCTTCGTGGCACAGTTAGCCAGAGCAATTTGTTGGTCATCTGTGTTTGAGCGGTTCCGTATCCACGTAGAGTTCGATAATATGGATCCAAATTCCAGCAATTTCTATTTCTTCTAAGGCGATTGTAAGGGATCACAATAGTATACATGTAATTACTTGTTAGGATTTTAATTCATCTATAACATGACTTCGTTGAGACATGCTCTGTATTTATTCATTGTTTCACGATTAACCGCTGTTTATTTCGAGATACTTAGGTTCAGATTCAGTGGCGGGCTTTATAGATGGTCGTGAAAATTACTATTTGTATTAGTATATTATTTATTCGTGTTATGTTTCGCGAAGAATATGTTTATGTATATTCATCTTTTTTAGTGTTAGATCAATATATGTCTGTGAGTTGTCTGCATTTATGTATTTTGAGAAAGGTTCATAAGTTAGAGCACGCAATTCAGAATGCAAAGTTACCGGTCGAATTAAGCACGGTTACGCAGATACACGGTTAATATTTTTTAATTATTCTATTTGAAGTTTCTTTATTATGATAGTTTTTATTCGTCATTCTTATTCATTATTTCTTCACGATAGTCTAGTATGTGGAGTCATTGGAGGCTTTGTTTTCTTATTTATTTATTTATTGGGCCCCAGTTCTAGCATACTAATTTTGTTTATCGATCATTTTTCCCGATGAAAATATCGGTCACATGCAGTACAATTGTGTACAATCGACGAGAACTGCTGAGTATTGATCGTTGCTATGAGCTGTACCGCCTTCACCCACTTTCTCTGAGCGGTCGATACCTGCACAGTGCGCCACGTGTACAGCTTTTATTTCAATATAAATCTTTGTGTTGGGACACAAATGTTAATCCATAGCACATTTGTGATTGTGATTCTATTTACAACACATGGACTGTCGTTGTCATGTGTTCTGCGAAAAAATCTATATTTTGAGTGAAAATAAAGTTTTTTCCCAAATAATTCATATCACAGGCATATAATTTCTCAACTTTTCTCCGAGAATACATAATTTATGTGCAGGTAGGTTTCTGACCTTTTATCAAAAGGGAATATTCATTCGAGATCATAGTCTTATTACATGTAAATTCAGTCAATCCAGTTTTGATCATATTAAATGTTTCTTTAAAATTTTTCAAATAATTCGTCTTCGGCGATGTTTAAGTCTACTTACGCATTCAATTATTCTCGAAAATAAATTTCAAAATTTTGAAATTCATTCACTAAAATGTATAGGCATGTTTTAACAATCCTGTTTAGCTAAATTAGCTGGAACAAAGAGAGCAAGAATGTTTCCCACACCAAATGTGTGACGAACTCTCTTCCTTGTTCGCCCGGCAGATGTGAGCTAGCAGAACAAGTGCACTCTTGGTGCTTATTATTATTCTTTAAAGCCTTGACCAACTTTAAGTGAAAGCTCTGAGCATTTATGAGTAAATTACAAATTTAGGTACTAGCTTCACTAATATTTGTTCCTGAGAAGCAAAAGTAGACCAACACTTCAAAACCGCACTCGTGACCATTAATTATGAAGAAAGGTTGATTTTCAACTGCTGAACTTTTGCTTCCTTCTTCATATAAAACGAAAAAAATAATTATACATTTCTTTTCTGACTAAAATGATTTTTCATTCAACACTCCATGTGCGTCTCTAGTCTTGGTGGTATTTGAATCAAATATTCATTTCTGATTAATTTTCAGCAATACGATAAGGATATTTGCAGAGATTAAATAGCTAAAGCACAAGAGTTTTTACAAACTTTATGATTGCAAAAAAAAATTATTTTTAAAGTATTTTCCGTTTCCACTATCCTCATATTTCTATTCACATGCCATCATGATGACAAACACTTCACTCGAAAGAGACTTATATGGAAGTTGGATACGTTTTTAGTTCTTATTCAGTTATGCGTGGAGAGTTGCACATACGCACTGCAAGTTGCCCTGAAGCTGATCACCGCCAAATGGTATCGATAGTTACCATCAAAAGTTTGGTAAATATATCGCCTTTCCGCAAGCCGGTCGTCACTTGGCATCATCGAGTGACAAGGCTTCCATCAGGCGTGCACTAAGGGCATCGCTTGGCAGTGCTCACTTCTGACGGTAGATCCCCAGAACTGTCATCATGTGGGGTGGTCGGAAGCGCAAAGAGGACCGTCGGAACAGCGCCAGTGTTGTCGAGCTTCAGCGAGCCGCCAAGCTAGCGCAGTCACGACTGGCCAACTGCGACAAGTCCCCTGGTCTGCGAAGAGCCAACTCCTACAAAGAGAATGAGATGGGCATGCACCGTTCACCATCATACCTTAAGCCTCCATATCCTAATTATTATGAACCGGATAGTCGGAATATTTCTGCAGGATCAAGTGAGACTTCGATAAAGCTGCACGGCAGCAGGGAACGATTCTCCCCATGTGCATCGCCAAAGATGAGCAGACTAGTGGCTAGAAGGTTATCGGGATCACCGCATTCCTCATTAAGTAATATCTCCCATAACGGCAGAGAGCACAGATCTGTCAAAGATCTGAGGCACTGCGAGGCCCTGGCTAGCAACGACGATGGTTATGAAGTTGACAAGAGAAGAAGAGGGAGCGGCAGTCCCCGACACATGAGTCTTACTGGCATACCCGAGGACATGAGGGTTGGTCGACTGAATGAAACTGATTCCCTCTTCAGTGACAACTCTTCGCTGGCGAGCTACCGTACTTGTGACTACTTCTTCAAGGTGAGTAGAATAATTAGAAATGAATGTTTTTATTATTGTTGTTGTATGTTGATTCATCCTTAACAAATTTACGTTATAAAACCTCAAGTTGGCCTGATCTAACCATAGCATTAATTGAGAAATGCAGTGCACTTCTAATACAGGTTTTTTTATTTAATTACTCCTTTAGTTTTAGATATATCTTTATCATGTGTCATCACTGGAAGATTCATAAAGTGGTTGCTGATTCGAAATCTTTTGATGAGTTCATTCCAGACATTATCGCATTATTGCATACTTCAATCAGTAGCTGCTTTCGGCTTACAAAAAAAATTATAGAATTCGGTCGAGAGCATCTTGTCGATTTATCACATTAAATCTACAGCAGTAAAATTAACTTAGAGGGACGTGCCCGATATAATGCATAATAAAGAAAAAATGTTCACTTGCGCCTCTAAATTACTGCATGAAAAACTAATATTCAATCCTTCTGTTTACGGAATGTTTTGCTCATTCGTTATGAATATTTGTGTGACTATGTCAAAACCAAACTGTCTCAGTTTGGGTGCATTTATATGTTATTCGTCAAAATGGCGAGACACGATCTTTTTTGTTCATCGAAACATGGTTCTTTGAAAGGGAATGATTAAATTTGTTATTCTGAATCGTACACACGGCACAAAAATATGTTCCTCAGAAAATTGATAATTATAAAACACAAACGATTTCATCACGACAGACCTCTCCGCACCGAATGTGAGCATAAACGCGTGAACCAAATCATGTAAGGTTCCCATAATAATATGAGTACACAAAATCAGGTACCTGCAGTAATGTTGGCTTAATATTTCATGTACAACTAATAAGAATATTGAAGTATGCTGGGCTCCTGCGTCATTATCATTTCCACGTATAAGGTGCGTACACTATTTAATTGAGGCGCTGTGTCATGCCACTCTCAGGCTGGTGGAATCGCAGGCTTAGATTGTTTTTTTTAATGAAAAGTAATGTTTTCATAAGACGTATACTTTTATAAATTGGAACGCATACTACCTTCTTGGAATGGGTGCATCAAAAAACGCTAATTTCAAATGCACTCTACGGATGAATGCATGAAGAAATTAAAGCTCCACATTTATATTACCAATGATAGAAATAAAACGATTAAAAGATTTTAGTTTTTACAAATAAAAGCCAACGAAGCATTGTTTATTGTTAAGAATGGTTTATAGTTAACAAGTGCATGATTCTTACTTGCTATTTTTTACTTGCTATTTTCTGAGAACACACGCGATAAAATAATATGTGTGAATACAAAAAATACGAGTTAATGTGGAGTAAGCAGGAGCCATAGAAAAAAATGATATCCAGATTTTTTGGAAGCTCTGAATCGTCACTAACATGCAGTATCAAACTTTCCCTCTCATGACGTCAATATGACGAGAGTGGGATTTTGTATTGGAAAAATAATAAAAAAAAGAATTGCAAGCAGCTTCTCCCCTGATTTACCCGCCTCTCCTGCATTGTTAATTTTTATTAAATATTCATCTGGAATTTAGAAGAAGACCTAGGTTATGCTGCAGAAATACACGCACTCATTTATCATTGTGGACAGAAGGTCATAGTCTCCGTCATAAAAGCACACGAGGTAATCTCGAACACCTGTGCAGCACCTGACAAGCCGAGCTGGAGTGAGTAACATGCACAGCTCTTTACTTATGGGAAACTATATTCCAATTATAATAGGAGCTCTCAAGTTGGTCTTTCTGCTTCATTTATTATTATAATTTAATTGCGACTCTTAAAAATTGAATGTAGGATTCATGTGCAGACATTCTTTCCTTAGAACGTTGTAGATGAATAATTTTTCGTTTTTCTTTACCTCGCAATACTGTATTTATTGTTCATTTTACACGAAATGAAATGCTTACATTTTCAATTTATTTGCGATACCTAAAAATATAGGTGTTTCTTCAAAGTAACTCTTACAAGTAAAATTTTTTGCATTATTGCCTCAAGTCTATTTACAGATACAGTATTTGAAATATCAATAATTCTACGCTACAACTCCATATCTGTGAATTTATGCTCCTCAAATCCAAAAAAAATGCAGCTCATGCAACTGCCAGCTTTATCATTATTAACGAAAGCAAAAACATTTGGCCGCCATGCAGGTGATGCTGATCGGCGACTCGGGCGTCGGCAAGACTTGCCTCGTCACCAAATTTCGCGACGGCGTCTTCCTCTCCGGCAGCTTCATCGCCACTGTCGGGCTGGACTACAAAGTGGGTAGCGTGGCAGAATAGGTTTATAAGTGCTGTTTATTTAAAGTATATCACGATTTAGACAGTTATGTTTCGATTAGATTAATGAAAAATAATCCTTGAAGTGAGGTGGACAATCATTTTTAACAACCTCTTTGCAATCTCTGAGCCGGACCAAAGACGGATTTGGTGTCATTTTTATATTGAGCTATGAAAGTTTCTTTCAGCGTACTTTTCAAAAAAATTACATGCTTCAGAATAAACTCTGTGGTTTCAATTGTCACAGCTGAGAAAAACTTGTCTGTTTCCTTGTCACAACCAACAATTGCCGAGTTGTTTCCGAAAATAATTAAACTGTGCCTATTCTCATGTCAGTAGTTGTTTAAGAACAAATCTTTGCCTCTTCAATTGTTAATTTGTCACACACAGCAGTTGTTTCAGAAGAAAACGTTGCCTGTTCAATTGTTCGCTGGTCACAAGCAGCAGTTGTTTCAAAACAAAACTTTGCCTGTTTGGCAGTGCTCACTTCTGACGGTATTGGTCACATTGGTCACAAGCAGCAGTTGTTTCAGAACAAAACATTGCCTGTTCAAATTATTGTTCATTGGTCACAAGCAGCAGTTGTTTCAGAACAAAACTTTGCCTGTTCAATTGTTGACTGGTCACAAGCAGCAGTTGTTTCAGAACAAAACTTTGCCTGTTCAGTTGTTGACTGGTCACAAGCAGCAGTTGTTTCAGAACAAAACTTTGCCTGTTCAGTTGTTGACTGGTCACAAGCAGCAGTTGTTTCAGAACAAAACTCTGAGGGTAGACGGCAGTCTGGTGCGGCTGCAGCTCTGGGACACGGCTGGCCAGGAAAGGTTCCGGAGCCTCACGCGCTCTCACTACAAGGACGTGCAGGGTGAGCGGTGGTCGTCTGTCCTGACGATGGGTAGTGACGCTTTCTCCTCATCTGTATCCTGAATGAAGCGCAGAACTTGAAGTTTTCATCATGAATTTTTTTCATTCATGTTTCCATCATGAAGTTTTCATCATTTCATGAAGTCACTTTATCATATATTCAGTAATACTAATTTAATTTAAGCAGAGTAATGATACAAGTAATTATTTCTTTAGTGATAAAAAGTGTCTGGTTTATAACAAAAGATTCCAATCAAGGACTTCAAAGTGAAATTTTATCGTCTAGTTTTTCTAACTGCGAATTTGCCATCCATAATTTTCACCCATCAGAAAATAATTAGTCTCTCGTGTCACATTGACGGAGGTCAGTCTTTTAACCGAGCGAAGAAGTTGTAGGTTTCTCGTCAATCACGAACTCTGAAAATTACTGTCACCTTGTCGGTTATTCTTGATTATGTGCTCTTTTTTTATTGCCATCGATAGAATGAGCTATATAAATAACAAATAAATCAAATAAATATTTGAGTTAGAGAATTTCACCAACAAAAATGATCAAATTATTGGTCTAATTTATCAGCGTTGATGTTGTTGTATGACGTACACAACCGCCGGAGCTTCAGTAGCGTGCGTAACTGGGTGGTGGAGGCGCGTCGACTTTCCAAGCGCGACGTCGTGATTCTTCTTGTCGGTAAAATAAATAATTCAAAGCTTTCATGTTATATAATACTTGTTGAGGTGTACCATCAATAATAATAATGAATGCTATAACTTTGCCACATTAATAAAAAAATTTGACCATGTAACCTTGTTCCGTAGGAAAAGCTAAAAATTGGTCAAAGCTGTGTACCAGTTGAACAAATTATAAATTTTGATGTTTTAATAATTTTTCAAGTTTAGTTTTAAACCGAGCTATAACACGGTGTTTTAGGCAACAAAAGCGATTACTCGGAGAGTGATCGAGCAGTTACCAAAGACGAAGGCTTGCTGCTTGCGAAGGAACTCGGCCTCAACTTCGTCGAGACTTCGGCGAAAAATGGCGACAACGTCGAGCTCGCCTTCCGAGCAGTCGCTGTGTGAGTGATTTTTCAGCCTTGCAGTTACAAATAGCAGATGAAATAAGGAATTTATTGTGTGATAAAAATTACAGGTCAAATGAGCATGAAAAAATATAGGTTGAGGGTGAAACTGGAATAATTTCCTTAAAAAAAAAAAACAAAGCCAAAAAACTGAGTACGGTGACAGGAGAAACAGAACCCTTAGATACGTATATAAATTTCATTTCGAAAATAATCCTTACAATACCCGAAAAACCGAGTAAAAGAAGATAAAATAAAAATTAGAAATCTCAAATACACTTCCAGGTAATTGTATAAGTGATTGAAAATTTCGCCCGTGAGCAGGAAGCTGAAGTGCCAACACAGCGCTGACCCCGAAGACAAGAGCTTCAGCCTGCAGGACTATCTACTTAGGAACGAGGCGTCCTGGTGGTCATCTTGCTGCTCCTTCTGCCCTTTCTACCGACGATGAGCATCCCTGTCCAGTGGCTGGATGATATCAGATGATACCGACGATATGCTTAACTGCTCAGCATTTTGACGATGTTCTTCACTGCTCGTGGGCTGGATAACATCAGGATATTCTTCCCTGTACGCAGGCTGGATCGTATCGATGATACGCTTCCCTAGTCCGGGTGTTGAATGGTACACATTACTGCTCAAGGGCTTGATGGTATCGAAGATAAGCTTCCCTGCCTGAAATGAATTCGAACTTTCGCAATTACGCAGTCAAGTTTCAGACGATATTGTTGGTTGTCATCATGCATATAAAAATTTTAATGGTATATTTTCAATTTTTTGTTATTGTTTAGTTTGGCAGAAATTGTTCCTTAACGTAGATTTCATTGAAGACCAGAAATTACCTGAGTAATTCTTAATAACAAATGTCCCTGGTAACCTCATATTCAAACTTCGAATCCTACGAAAAGATTTATTTGAAAATGTGAGATGAACAATAAAAAAATATCAGTGAAGAAACTCCTATGTATTCGAGAAATAAATTAGTAACTTAACATTTTTCACACACCCAAATATTACGAAACTTTTCCTGGCATATCACGCTTCTTTAAAAATTTTAATACTGTCGCTGCTCTGTATAAGCGCGGAATTATGAGTGAAGCTCATTGTGAGTAAATAATGGTGAGTAAAGCTCATCACCTATTCATTTGAACTCGTGATCGAGGACGTACAGAACTCATTATAAATTTAACAGAAGTGAATCTTCGTGTACATTTCTTACTTAATATTTATTTACGTCTTTGTATTTGCGCTGGGATGCAATTTATATTTCCAGGTGAAATGAGTTGAAATATTTAATCTTGCTTTTCCAAACAAATAATTGGACATTTTCATTTCTAGAATGCCTATCGTTATTTACAGTTGAATTATGCACAGTTTTCTCCTGTTGTGTTTCCCCATTACCTTTAGTTACGAATTAACAAACATATTACGTCTCACCCACCAGCGATTGTTCCTGGTATTTTACTCATTTTGAATCATATTTTTACACGATTTCAACAATGATTGGCCTATTTTATCTATAAATTGAAGTTAAATCTATGAGCCTCGATCTATCAAATCTGTCATCATCCTAGCAGGAAGGAACTATCGAAATCTGATTCTAGTTTAGGCGAAATAATAGGCTTCCAAAATTAAAACAATTCCTATGTGTTCCATTCTGTTGGAATAAAAAGTTTTTCACACTCAAATTTTTAGTTGATTTGACAACTTGATTTGAAACACGCTTTTGTTTATAATTATCACGTATGTATATTACCAATGATGCGTCATATTCGGGATAATAAATAGTTTTACAGCGATCGAAGTATTATTTGTAGCTCCCTCGCATCGCCTAACTATTCAAATCAAGTTGTAAATTTTCACCTCATATCCTTCCTCTTCGGTCCAAGTTTTTTAATGCAAATGAGATGTTAGATGCTTGTCGACTGTGGCGCCGTTAGGCCCATTATAGGGGCCTCTGGCCCCATAAATATCCCCACACGTCCCTAAATAATTTATGTTCCTTCGTCAAAGTTGTGATTCTTCACAAAATTAATATCGGCTTATTCAATATAATGAGGCACGAGTACAAATTTGAATGAATAGTCGTACAAAAAGTCATTATTGAAATAAATATGATCATAAATTTTACGGGGGGCTAACGAAGTTCTCAAAACCTAAGGGACTCTCTGTATCTGAAACCTACTGAGCCTCTGCTGGTTGGACTGCTATTTGCTCAGGTAATTATTTTCTGTTTATGCACGTGCGTATAATTTGAAATGTCTCCTCTACTGTTTACATGAGTTAATTATCATCTGAACGACTGGTGTTTAATTTGTGTAAGATATATTAAATTAAATGTTCTTCTTGAGATAGTTAATTAGTTTCGATTCATTACTTACCTATAATGGCATAACTGGAGCGATATTACGAGAAGGATGCTCGGTAATGACCGATTTGATATTTACTTTCTTACTAATCTGCTCAAATTGTCATGACGGTTGGAGTGGCAGTGCCTGAAATAACTGATGTTACAAGAACAGCAATAAACATTGCAATGGCTTTACATAACATAACATAGTGATGTCGGCGCTGAAGCGTAGGCCTGGGCCCTGGTGTGGCCTGTCGCCGATTCTTTTCCTTTTCGTGCCTTGTTCACAGAGCTTTGTCATTCCGTTATCTAATATCATTGTGTACTGAGGCAAAATCTTTTATCGTCGTTGAGGGCGTTGATCATATCTATATATATCATAAAAATTAAAAACCATGACCGTCTGGCGTCTAGACTCGTTACTCAGATCGCTGTGACAGCATCATTTATTATAGTATCCTCTCAAAACATTTTCTCGATTTCGTTTTCTGTGATGCCATCAGTTGCGCTTTCATGAGGGACTTATGTAGATAAGATGTCCTCATCAACACTAACAAGTCCAAGTGTCCAACTCATGCTGCTCATAAATATTGTACAAATATACTCTAAGAGAAACTGAATTATATTGAAATATTGATATATTAACACATCCGTTGGCATTCATCTCTTGAAAGCAAATATTGAAGGAGGCGGAGCAATCATGTGAGAAAAAATAGTGAACAGTTTGAGCGAATCACATAGAATATAACGACGAAAACTTGCATTAATTTTCCTTCAAATCACGAAATCTGTCAATAATCAGCATATTCTTATTTTGCCTGGATTCTTGACCTTGATCACGTTCATTTCATTCATGTAGAAATGGTTTTCTTTCACAAAAAAAAATGAAAAAATTCCGACCCATTAAATTCCTTGCAACTAATAATTTTGTGCATCTCTCATCAGGTTTTTAAATCTTTTATTCTATTCTTGCCAGGTAGTTTGATGCAGTTCATGAAAAACTTTCATACAAAGTGATTGAATATCAAATTTATTTCATGCCAATTACTAACTGTACTTCCGTCTGTGTGAATGTTAATTAGTCATTCTCGGCTCCTCAAATATGTCACATGTAGTGCCATTTGCTCCAGATAAAATTAACACATCAAATATGTTAATGCATTAATATTGAAACTCGTTATAAGATCATCACCTGCTCAATTCTTCTTCACAGCCAGCGCGCGCCTTGAAGAAGTAGTCGGTGGAGCGAGCGAGCGTCTCTACACTAAATATTCATGAGTTCTGCGATTACTTGTCAAAGCTCTTCTTCTCCGTGCGATCAGAGGGTTGGGACTACAAATCTTCTCAGGCCAGGACCTTCCTAAAATGAGCAACATTTAGCAGCGCAAAACATGAAGCAACTCGACTGGCAAAATCTCCGGTGAGAACGCGAACTTTTTAGATTTTTTCCCCGGCTTTTCTGCTCCAGGAATGACGTCATATTCTCCTGAACGAAGACTGAAAGAACCTAGAGAGCTTCTGGCGCACGTCTCGTAATAGGCACGAAGGTGTGAGCAATCTTGTCCAGCGAGCAGTTGCTTCAACCGTTCGGAAATTGTTGCCGTTCAATGGAGTCTTACCTCAGCCGATCGCAGTTTTAAATAACAGCCAGCCTGCTGGCTTCTGTTTAGAAATGTGCAGGTTGCGTTTGCAAAGCTGTGAATGTTAGTAAATTTCGATAAATCTTAGAGAAAAAATATAATTTACGCTCTCAAAATTCAAGAAGGAACTATAAAACTACAATTTAGTAGTGAAGCGAAGTTTGCATCAAATTTCTCATAGCTAAATAGAGTTGCAATAAAAATTAATGATAGAAGTAAGAACCAAATAATACTGCTTCACTAGATACGTCAGCATTGCATTCATTTTTCAGGTTACTTAGGCATCAGATAAACACCATAACATATCACGGCTCGGTCAAGGTACAAGGCTAGTGCAATAAACCTAATCTGTTTTTTCTAATCTTTACTTTTTCTGGCCGTGAATGTCACATCACAAAAAAATAGTTCAAGAAATGAATGATTGATCATCCTTCCACTGTCTTTAAATAAAATTGGACTTAGAAATTGTAGGAGTAATCATAGTTGGCCTTTAAAGGATACAAGGATTTTGCCTGGACTCGAACAATGGTCTTCAACATGGCATCGGTGTGCTGACGAGCTTACAATTTTATGATTCACAGCCATACAATAATATTAAGCTAAAAACAATTACGGACTAGTGCGGCACGTGGAATTGATATGGGATCACTTGGAAGTGATTAATAAGCGAACCGCGGATGGAGCATGGAACTTAGGATGAACCAACTTATGAACACGAGAGTATCAAAGGTGGAAGGACTCAAGAAGGAGAGGGAATGGCAGTTTGAGTGTGGAGCAGGTGTGGCGTGCGTGGACTTAATGGATTGCCTGAGAGACGAAGCTTCTTAAATGCAGTTAAATGCCTCCTCTTCCCTCCTTGGTAAGCGGGGCCACGAAGCAGAGCTGCGACCTCCTGCCACTCCCTCTTGATCACATCTTGGCTGCCGGGCGCTGAACTTTCTTCGTGCTTTACAAGGATTGATTCCATGCACACAAGCATGCGTCTCGTATCTGCCTTCTGTCCGTAATACTGGTAAACTTTGTCGGCTGCTCAATTAGTGATCGGTAAAGCAATGGAGCAATGGAGTGTACTTTGTCCAAATTAAAAAAAATCATTCATACGCGTGCCAACAAATGTTCTAAGTTTGAAGAAATAACATAGTCTACCAAATACTTAATTGCAGCTGCATTTTACCTACTCCCTGGAATTAAATAAATTTGAAATCAAGTTTTGTTAAACAAGTTCTTTTTACAGAAAAATTTCTTCATTTCTTTTGAAGCTGTAGGTGAATCCTTGATTCCTAAAATGATTTGTTCTCGTCATGATTTAGAGGAGGTTCTTTGGCTTTGTAATACCTAGATGCTAAAAATATGAGTCACAATTTGTAAAGTTTACCCACCTGGATTATAATTTCAGACACATAAACTATTATTGACCTAACGTTAATTTCTGGAGTGTGAATTATTAATAAGCCGATTGCAAAGATCAAGTTGTCATGAACGCCCAAGATGCGCGTTAATTGGTCATCCGTTCAGCGATCAAAACTTTAACGTCTACACAACCAATGACTGATAGGTAGGCTAAACTCTAACGAATGATAGGCTAAACTCTAATTAATGATAGGCTAAACTTATGATTATGAATGATTATTTATTCGTAATTTGTTGACGGTCAAAAATTTTTCTTCTAACAGGCTGGTACCTTTTAGTATTCTTTCCTTGAAATTAAAAAAAAGTGAATTCGCGTCTATAATACTGCCATTTATAAATAGGGCACAATACAAATTAAGTTAATGATTTTGAGCTCATGTATTCTAGAAATATTTATCTATTTATCGCTTGATCATGTGGATTTGACCGAGATGGAAAGGGCTTGCAACGCACTGATTCCTCAGATTAATTATCATTTATCTACTGCCGGAGCAAATTGAAACGCTGTTCAGGACTTTGATCTTCCATATTTGACTTAGAGATCAGGGTGGCACCCGCTCCAAGTCTTCTATATAGGAACATCAGCAAATGCCATGCATATTATTAATAATATGATCAATGCATAAACGAAGACTTAGAGATACATGTTGTCATTGTAAACTGGCGTTGAGTTGCCGTGGAGTAAGTCATGTTGTCGCGTGGATTAAGAGCGTTGGCCCAATATTATCACGGGGATCAGATCGTCAAGCTGTAAAAAGCCAACCTTGCTATAACTGCAGATGCACCGAATTATTTCATATTGTTCATAATACTCGGCAGAAGAGGGTTAATCACAAAAATAAATGTTACAGTCCACAGTTATCGAAATTTTAAAATTAGTCACAATTTTGCCATCTAACTTCCATGGAATAAGTATTGTTGTATATATTTTGTAGTGGTTCATATGATAAACAAGTTTAGATAAATAATGATTTGCTGCAATAATATAGCAATTCGTATAATGAGCTGATAAACATAAATCAATAAAAATAGTTTTTCATCTATTTGTGCATATTATATTTTTCTGAAGACTTCCTTCATTTTCGTCGAGTTGATTCTCCCAATATACACGAAGGGTGTGCCGGCTGGCTGACCAGAACTCCACGGGATAGCCCCTCCATGCCTCGCGATTGCATTAACTCCTGCCGTCCACTCTTCGTTTGCTCTATTGTATGAGATTATTGGTGCTAACTACACCTCAATGCAGCACCCCGAATAACATGTAAAAAGTCTTAACAAACATTCATGAATGCCACACGATTGACGGCGTACGTGCGTATCATCTCGAGGATTGTTCAATGCCAGCCAGTCTGTATTAAAATGATATTTGTGTGGGTTTTCAGTTGTAAAACTTCATTTTG